ATGACTGAAGTTGCCTGAGAAATACTGTGTGGTTCTGAGTGACACTGGTCTCATGGAGTCACCGTTCGCTCTCTGCTCTGGCGGTGCTCGGTGGTGAAAGTCGGCGCTGAGCCCCGGGCTCACATCTGTGCCCCTTTCCTTCATCCTGGCCTTGCAAATCCTGGATGCATCCTCTGGCTCCAGCTCCAGCAGCCCCGTGACCTTGCTGAAAAGCTCCACTGTTCTCTCTGCTACTTAGAGCTGGTCTGTGTGTCTGGCCAAGAGTTGGACAATGTCCAAAGATGAAAAGCAAGAAGACATAGTTCCCTCTAGGGCCTTTGTCCCTCACAACCTGGCTGCCTGATCTGTCTGTCTATCCATCCATCCATCCATCCATCCACCCACCCATATACCTGTCTCTCTATCATTTATCTTCTCTCTCTTTTCTTATTTACATTTTATCTGAACTTCTAGTTGTTCTGTGTAAGAGTCTTGTCCTACCAGAAGCTGCTGTGTTGTGGATGGGAGAGTAACAGAGCCGGTCCCACGCACACCAGTGTAAGTCAACGTCACTCATCTCGTATCCCGTATTACCCACGACGTAGAGTCAACGAGAGCATTAAAGCAAGCAGATGTCTTGTGATGTAGTAGATGCTCCACAAACACTAATGTACGGATGTAAAGAATCAATTTTAAAATCTCTCTATATAAAGTTGAAGCAGAGAATTGCCAAACAGAGCCTCGCTTTGTAAACTCTGGATTTCTCCGCTGGCTCTGTGCACTATGAACTACTGTGTCAACTCAGGTGAGTTTCTCACATCTCTGGCCTCATTTCTCGGGTACTTCAGGCATTCTTTACTGAGTGCAGATCTGGGGGGCAGGTGGCAAGGAGAAGTCGGGGGGTTTGGTGAACCTGGAAGCCCGCCCTTGGCGATGGAAGTTGAGTACATCGTACCAACACAGGCCTCGCAGGGGGCGCCAGAGTCTAAAATAAGGGCAGGCTCATGTCAAAAACAGAAAAGGAATTTAAGGAAATCTAGCATTTCTTTTCCTAACTTCTCCTGAAAATGCCAGACGTGGGAGGAAGCGTAAGTGGCAGTAACATGAATAGGTCAATGAACCCTCGTCTCCAAGCCATGGCTTTGTGTGGACCCGTGTTTGATGGACTTGGCGCGAAATACAAGGGAGGGTTTTTTCGCGTGATAGTCATCCGTTTCGTGGGTCAGTGGGATGAGTGTGACCTCAGGGAAGCATTGGTTGAATGTCTTGGGACGAAAACGGGGTATTTCCTTTCTCTGAACAAGGTCAGACTCTCATGATGGACTTTTCAGAAGGTTCCCACGGAAGGACGGCGACCCATTCACCTCGCCCACGGGGGTTTCTCGAGGTTTAAACTACCCCTTCACGGTTCTGAGTATGGAACGTGCAGGCGCACATCTTTAGGACGCAAGGCAGTTGTGATGCTGCGACGGTGTTTGCTGAGCATGAGGCGGGTGTTGCCATGGTGACGTGCGTTCTAACACCCGGAGACCCGTCCCTGGACTGGTGGCCGGAGACGCTAAGGCCGGGTTGGTCCCAGCATCTGTAGGTAGCAGGGCTTTTCTATGCTGTAAGAATACAGCTGGCATCATCTAAGCATCATAAGTCCGTCGGAGAAAGACAGTCGTCATAGGATCTCACTCATTTGTAGAATTTAAGAACCAAAACAGAGGATCATGGGGGAAGGGAGGGAAAAGTGAAACAAGATGAAATCAGAGAGAGGACAAACCATGAGGGGCTCTTAGTCACGGGAAACAGTGCTGCTGGAGGGAGGGCGTAGGGGGGTGGGGAAACGGGGTGACGGCACGAAGGAGGGCACGTGATGTGATGGGCACGGTGTTCTACACAACCGACGAGTCACTGACCTCTGCCACGGACACTACTGATGCTCTCGATGTAATCAACTGAAAGTAAATTAAAACAAAACAACCCCCCACGTAACACTCAATCTACTGTCTTAACGCATTTTAAGCGAACGGTGCGTTATTCACTATGTGCAGCCTCCGGGCAAGACCTCCCTAGACTGTGCCCGTCCTGCCTGACTGACTCCCGGTTTCCACGGGGCAGGACCTCCCCGATTCCCCGCCTCGGCCCCCGATGGCCAGCGGTCCGTCGGCCTCTGTGGGCTGGACCCCTTCACGTGCCTCCTGCCGCGTGTCCCGCCGCGCCGTCTGCCGTGCTGGCCGTTCCCCGGACGTCGCGGCAAGGTCTGGTCACGCCGCAGCGTGCGGTAGGCAGCCTTCCGTTCCGGCCGAACACCACGTGTGCACGCCGCATGTTCCTTACCGGCTCGTGCACTGACGGACACGGAGGTCACGTCCGGGCCCGGCTGCGGCGAGTCGTGACGCAGTGAACGTGGGTGCGGCGTCTGCTTCAGGTCTGCCCGTTGTTACGGATGAAGAACCACAACTGGCCGGCCGGCCCACACAGGAATGTCACTTTAACTTTTCGAGGAGCCTCCGCGCTGTCTTCTGGAGCGGCTGCCCCGGCTTGCGTTCCCAGCGGCCCGGCACGGCCTCCGAGGTCCTCGCGCCCGCCGACACTCGCTGTTCTCTGGGCTTCTGCTGTGCTTTGGTCGGAGCCCTGCTGGCAGCGGGGAGGCCTCGCCTGGGCCGCGGATTGGCGTTTCCCCGGTGAGGCGCGGCCTCGAGCCCTGTCGCCCGTGGCTGCTGGCCATCTGTGCATCTTCCTTGGAGAAGTGCCTGCTCGGGTCCTTTGCCCATTTTTAAAACCGGGCTGCTTTTGGTAGTGCACCTTCTGGTTTAAGGAACGTCGGCCAGAAGTTGGGTATTTTAAGCAGATTAAAACGGGACTGAGGCCCAGGCGGCCGAATGGCTCTTTAGATAATCTCTGCTGGAGTTTTCCTACTGCAGGTGGGAGGCGTGACGCGGCCGGGGGCGGGCTGGCTCTGGGGGGCTGCCTCAGCCCCCTGGGCTCCCAGGCAGGAGGGAAGGTGCTGAGACCCTCGTGGACGTGACCAGGTGGACATGGCCTGTGTGGCGGCGGCTCCTGGGGAGCGGGCTGAACAAGGTGGGGCCAGGGTCCCGTGTCCCGTCCACAGGCCGGGTCGGGGGGTGTCTAGGTGGGGGGTGGGTCATGTGTCCCACCCACAGGTGGGGTCGGGCAGCCCCATCATACCGCCACCCGAATGCCAGGCCCAAATTCTTCCAGGAGAAACGAATGCCGTTCACACTGGCGAGAACAGTCTAGGGAGTCCGGGAGCCGTGGTGCCGGGACAAGCGGGGTCCCGTGACCGGGACGTCTCGCGGACAAGGCCTCACCCCATGTCTCTGAGCGTGCTGGTGGTTTCCCAGTGGCTGGCGTGTTCCATGCACACGCACACACACACATACACACGCAGGCCCATGGCTTCATCAGCAGAGGACAGTCCTGGACGCACCGAGGTAGTCGAGCCCGCATGGGCGGTGCGGGAGGGTCTTAGACCTGGAGGCAGTGATGCTCTCTCCTGCCAGGGACCAGCTCTGTCCCAGCTGCGCGTCCTGCGGCTCTGAGTAGCATGGCTGGGCCGGGCAGCCTCTCCGAGAGGCGGCGTCCCGGGAGGTAACACCCTGCTTGGGGGAGGGGCTGGAGTGTTCGGAAATTTACTGTCAGGGGTGTGAGGCGCTCGTAGGTCCCTGGTCTCTCCCTGGAAGCGAGACTGTTTTGTCGGGAGAGGCTAGTTTCCTGGGACTCAGGTGACAGAGGTGCCATTTGACAAGAGGTGGGGCCCTGTAATCGTCCCCGGTGGGCGGACCCAGATGCATGCTCCCCCGGGACCTCCCCAGGGAGGGCAGCGCTGGCTTCCTTCTGGAGGGGTTGCTGATCAGCAGAAATAACACGCCAGCATCCTGTTTATTTGATACCCCTTACCACACAGGTATTAAATTAAATGCTGGGCCACTGGGGTACTAAAGGGGAGAAAACACAAGGTGAAAGTAGTTAGCCCTCCATTCGGTACTCGGGGGACACTCAGGTGAGTCAAGTCAACGACTTCTGCTCTGTCTTTGTCGCGTTTTGCGGACACATTCGCTGACTCCTTCCGCTGGGTGGGTCCTTGGCTGTGTTCCCGATCCACCACATGTGTGAACGTGGAGAGTTTTTGGCGCGTGGGCACTGGGGCAAGGCATTTCCTCCGATTATGGCGACAAACTGAGCTGGTGTTACAGATTGGGAGGATGACGAGGTAGGCCAGCCGGCTGGCGGGCACACCCTCTTCACGCAGAGCTGTGGTTCGAGTGGAGTCCTCTGGCTTCTGAGGTCCGGGCCACCCCACGCGGCCTGTCTTCTTGGCGCCACGTGCCTGGGTCCAGACCACGGCCATGCCAGCTTGTGTGGGACACATGTGCACAATGACGGACACCCAGCAATCATCCGGTGGCTACATGCACGGGAAGCACATCTGTGCTATTAACTATAAATAAGATGGAACTTGGCAGCTGGGCACGGCTCCTCTTTTAGGTAAGGCCTTCCTGCTAAGTTAACTTCAGGATGAGAACCGTGAAAGCTTGAGAGTTTCTGGAGTAGAAGCAAAACCAAGAAACCTCCCAAACACACAACCCCCGAGAGTCAGGTCCGCCGGCCAGCACTCAGCAAACGGCAGCCAGAACTCGGGCAGCTCTCGGGCTCGCCCGGAAGCACCAGCAAAGGGCCTGGGGACCCTCAGCTCGACAGGACCGAAAAGAAGGCTGAGAATTCGTGTGGGAGCGTTAAACAGAGTCAGAGGAACGTCAGGCATGGCAGAACCTCGGCCTTATGCGCCTGTCCTGGGAGGACAGAGGTGCTCTCTGTGGGTCAGGACGGACACTTGGCACGTTTTGATTTTCATTTTTTCCAGCTCGTCGATTTTTCCCTCCTAAGATCAGGCTGATGACCGATGATGTAGGTCATGGATTTGGGGCGAGGCCGTCCCTGTGGCTATATATAGCATCTTCCCAGGCCATAAATGGGAGGGAGGGCTGGGCATTTGGAGGGAGAAATAGCTCTGCCTTCTTCAGCCAGAGCCGCGTCGTGGGTGTGCTGGGTGAGGCAAGGCTGCTCTCCTCTCGGTCTTTTTCCTCTCTCTCTGGGTAAGTTTCTTTTCTCCTTTCCTTTTCTGATTTGGGGCTTTGCAGGAAGGACTAATGACGTGTGCCGAGGCTGGGGCCATCCGATTTCCTGGATGGACCTGCTTCGGGGGAAGCCGGTGTGAGCCGACACGTTCCCCGAAACACAGAAGGCGGCAAACGACTTGGCCTGAGCCTGTTTCTTGGACGGGGTTTCAGGATTTGCTTTGTTTCCCGTGGTCACAACCTCCACTGCCATCACGTGCGGTCGCCCCAGAGCCCCGGCTCGTCAGCCCCAGGTCTGTGGTGGCTCCCGGGGGACCCTGAGCCCATGCGCCAAGGTCTGCGCTTTCCCGAGAGTCTGAGCCAGGAAGGTACCCATGGGGACAGTGCAGGTGTGAAAAGGTGTGAAATAGAACTGGCCATTTTCTGAAGAGAAGAAGGGTCATTAGGTCATTTGCACGCCCTGGACACGGGTGTCTGTGGGACACGGGTAGCTGGGGGACACGGGTGTCTGAGGGACACGGGTGTCTGGGGGACACGGGTAGCTGGGCATCCAGGCTGCTCCTTGGCTCTACAGGCTTTCAGCTTGAGCGGCAGCTTCTCACGGCTGTCTTCTCGTCAGGGCTCTCCGAGGAGCTATAATCCTGCAGAGTCGCTGGGCTTGGTGTCCCCGCTGGCGCCTGGCGCCGTTCCCCGTGCCTTGGAGCTGTGCCTGCTAGAGGGCGGTGGGGCGGGGGCCGGGAGGCAGCCGGGCTCAGGCCAGCAGGCCAGGGGCTCCCTTTTCCCACCTCCTGGGCTCAGCCCTTGCTTCCCAGGCGTGAGTGACCCAGGCATCAAAGAGTGAGGGGGGCAAAGGTCACTAAGTGGGTTTTTAAATAAACCAGGTCCGGCCTCCGCTCGCAGCGAGTGTACGTGGAGCCAGCGTTGATGGAGGGACGCCGGTCCCTCACCCAAACGAGAGAATCTGGGGGTAAACCCTAACTGGTGGTGACGCAGCTGTGTGCGTTGCTGGAAGGTTCTCCCGTCCAGGAAGCCACACATGATCTTGTCGCTCGATTGGATTTGATCCTGCTGGAGCGTCAGGACAGAAGGACTCAGGGTCCTTGGGGGCCGGAGAGCTCTGTGTCTGCAGGGACAGCCTCCGCCGCTCCTGCCGCGGCCCTGAAAGCTTGTTCAGAGAAACGCGGCATAAGTCGAGCTGCCGGGAACCAGGTGTCACAGCTTGTTGGACTCCTCCTGGAGGATGACGTTTAGAGGGATTTTGTGCTCGGTGGTCGTTTCTTTTGGTGCCGAGCAGTCCGGGAAAAGCTTCAGGGAAGGAGACCCCGGTGCAGACGAGCTTGGGCGGAGCCCGTCTGGGGTTCTGAGGGTTCAGTTCCTCGGGGCCTGGGCCAATCGTGCGCCCTCCTATCCTTTCTCTTCCTCTCAAGAAGCCTTCATTTGGTGTGTTCACTGACTGCGACTTTTTAGGTGTCCTTTATGAGGTGGCAGTCACACATGGTTGCTGAAATGTTTCTGTGAATTAAAATCCTTGCTGGCCTGAAAGATGGGTGTGAGGGACCCGGCGTTGGGTGCGAGCAGGTTCCGGACGCGCGGCCCCCTGTGCCGGAGGGCGGGCTCGTGTTTCCTGTGGGTGTCATTCTGAGATGTGTGAGAAGCCTTCCGTGAGCTGGTGGGCTGGGTGCAGAGTCAGGAGGGTGAGGCGGGACGCTGGCCCTGGGTCCCATGGGCCGGAGACCTGGGCGGATGGTTTCCACCCCCAGAGGTCCGTTTCCTCGCAGGGAAGGCCGGCATGCCCCAGGACAGCTGAGCTCACACACGTCGAGCTGTGGAGCGGCCTCTGGTTTCAGACGAATGCCTGTGCCCCAGGCTGTCACTGCCTGGCATCTGCTGAGTCCGCAGGGAGCCGGTTTCCAAGAGAGCTCCTCGCTCTGGCCTGGGGAGCTCAGGGACAACAGGGGAGGCTCTGAGACCCGAGGTTCCCCGAATGGCCTGGATGTGGGCTCGGCTGCGTGGCGGGCCTCCTGCTCTGTCCGGCTTGCCCATGGCAGGGGGAAGACAGCCCAGGCAGGGGTGGGGGCTGGTGATGACACATTGGGCCAGGAGTCCCCTGTGTAGAAGACGTGAGCTTGCAGCCGTCCGCGGCGGAGGGCCTCTGAGATGGTCCCGTCCTTGACAGGCAGTGCTCCGTGATTCAGGCGCGGGTGACCCTGGCAGGTGCTCTGCGTGTTCGTGGAGTGGGAGACCGGTAGGAATGAGGATGACCCCATCGGCAGAGTCCCCGAAAGCCCCCGATGCTGACGGCCCTCAGCTTCGTCAGGTGGGAACAAGTGCAGGGACATGTTCTGAGACGGCCACGGCCCCCACGGCCTTGGGTGGTGGCGGGGGGAGCCGTAGCAGGTGAACTGGAGGAGCGAGGAGGGCAGGAGCCCGTGCCCTGGGCGCTGGCTGTTCCCGCGTGCTCGCTCCTCCCAAGGGCGGTGCTGAGGCCCCGCAGGCCCACAGGCACGTCAGCCATGCGCCGGGTCAGCGATCTAGTGAGGGCCGCCGGGGTGTCGGCCGGGCGCCATGGGGCGGTTAAAGGGGTCCCGGGCTGTGAGGACAGCTGGCCTTTCACACTCAGGCCCCTTGAGTGTGCCGGCCCTCTTCCGGGGCGCTCTCTCCCCCAGTTTCAGCCTGTCGAGGTAGCCCATCCCCTCTCCTCACCTGGGCCATCTGCGGACTCGTCCCTTGGCCAGAGTGCGAACAGGTCTGAAGTGAAGTCAGTAAGCGCAAGTGGATGTTGAGGCGGGACACGACCAGGCCACCCCGAGCGCCTGTGGGGGGTGCTTGGCGAGTTGATTTTTAGGAGGGAAAATTAGTGTTAGTGTGGCAAAGTATGAAAGGCCCAGAAACAGAGGTCTGGGTGGGTCAGCCCTTTCTACGTGGTTTTAGGGAAATCCTTTCTCCTCTCTGGGGTCCTGTCCCCACCCCAAGTATAACGGGGTTGGATAATCCCTCAGGATCTTTCCAAGTTCTGTGACCCCGTGCTTCTAGGAAACCACAGTCTGCAGGAAATGGGCCACCGGGAGTCTGCTCGGAGGACGTACTGTGTTTGCTGGATTTTCTCATGGACACTCCAAGGGTTCTGAGCGGGGGGTGGGGCAGGGAGCAGGTGCAGGCTGTCCCGCCTCAGGGCGGCACCTGCCCCCTGTCCCCTCTGGTCTGCATCCCTGTTGTCCCTGGCGCAGGGCCATGGGGCCTTGCCTTAGAGTTGCTTCTGTAAATTGGGGCAGATTATTCTAATCTAAACACCAAGGATAAGTGGAGCTCAGATTTGGAATTCCTTCAGTCCTTTCTTTCGGGAGTTGGTGATCACCGAGAATTAGGAATGCTGTCGATGCTGCATTTTAGAGAGACCTGAGTCAGCCAGGGAGCTGGCACCCAGTGTATTTGGGGTGTGCACGGGTGGCAAACCGCTGGGTATCCCGTGCCTGTGCTACTCCGTTCACAGACACACCGCCCTAAGGATCTCAGTCACTCCTCGTTTTCCAAGAATTTAACCAAAATGTGCTTGCTTGCCCACTTCCCCCTGGCTTTCTTGCTGGCCCCCACCCTGCTCCCTGCCCACCCCTGCCATCCACGTCCACACGTAACCAGTGAGATGCAACTTTTCTGCACAGTGTCCTGGAGATGAATTCCCTTTCCAGGTCCCCTTTTGAGCAGTGAAGCCCCCGCCTCGAGGGGCAGACACAGAAAGCCCCAGTGTGTGGCGGCAGCCCTTCCGGACGGATCTCTTCTGGCGTCTCATCGAGCATCTAGAGATCCCGTGTTTCCTGGCCTCTTCCCATTGCTTGTGGGGATGCCTGCCCCTGCCCCATCTCCACCGGTCAGCCTGCCCATGGTCAAGCTTCTTCTCGAGGGTCACCTCCTCGGGGGCCTCGCCTGGCGGCCCCCTGTCCTGCCAGCTGTGCTCCCTCTTCACTTCCCAGAGCAGCTCGGGTCTCCCTCTGCTCTTATCTTGTATTCTAAGTATCTGTTTACGTCTCTAGTCCGCGTTTTATTTTTGTCCTTATCACTCACGTGGCTTTTCACGCTGCCTTGACCCAGCGGGTTTTCCAAACGTATTTGTTGAGCTCACACTGCAAAGAAATATAGTCCAGGTTTCGGATTTTCAGAGACACAAACCCATCATGATATCTGGTCCCGGGGAACTTACTAGGGATCCCGACTTGAAGCCCGAGATTATGTGCACTTGGACAGTGTTTCTCCCATCCCCCATCCCCTGAAGGAGCGTCGTTAGTGGAAGCTGACTGTCCCCCTGGGAACAGCTGGGGATGCTGGTGCAGAAAGTCCAGCAGTAGGACTGCATATGTGAGGCAGCTCGGCACTGTCTGACTCACGCTTTGCTCACAGGTGCACACCAAGATGTCGCTGGTCGCCGTGCCTTTTTACCAAAAGCGACACAAGCACTTTGACCAGTCGTACCGCAATGTTCAGACGAGGTACCTTCTGGATGAATATGCGGAGAAAAAGTAAGTTGAAACCCAGCTTTCGGACCGGTAGATCTTTGTTTGTGGGGTCTGGCATTAACGGGGCTTTACCTCGTCCCCTGCACCCTGGCCATGAACTGGTTTGGGGAGGGTCAGGGAGGGCACATTCCTAGCACCGGCGGGGAAATTTGGCTCTCCTGATTGCCCAGCAAACTCCGTGTGGAGCGCTGCTGGGACCCTGGTGGATCCCAGTGGATCACAATAGATCCTGGTGGATCCCGTGGATCCAGGGAGACTGGCTCTGAGCCCCTCATTTAGGTTATGAAGGCAGAGACTTTTGAGTAAGTGCTCCTTGCCGGCTCCTCCTCACGCAGCTTGCAGAAGTACGATCTGAAAAGTCACCAGCGCAGAAGGGCAGCCAGGAGGGACAGTGGCAGGGGGAGAGAGGCTTGTGGGGGCAAAGGGATGATTGCAGGGAGGCTGATGTCAGTAGTTTTGCTCCAGTAATAGTAAATGTAGTAGAAAGGTGAATGTATCCCCTGCCTCAGGGGCTGGTGAGAAGCCGCAGGTCTTGTGCCAGTGTCTGAAGCCTGGGGTCCTCGGGGACATGCCACACCTGCCTGGGGCCGCTGATGCCCGTGGTCTCAGGGGCCCGTGAGCGGGCCATGCTGCCCAACCGGAGGCAGTGCCGGGCGTGCCGGGCTGCGGTCTCTGGAGCTTGAGCGTGTCACCAGGAGGCTATATTTAGACCTGCCCGTGGCCCTCGTGTCAGTTGCCATCCCTGTAACAAAGAGCCAAACACCCACAGCCTCCCAGCGGCCTCTGGGAGCTTCAGATCCCCGGACATTGGTATAATCCCGGCGTTAGGCCACAGCGCAGGGGGAGGCACTCGCGGGCATGGGTGGAAAATGGCAAGGGAGAGGAGTGCGTGTGTGAGCACACCCCTCTGAGGACGCACGTGTGCAGACCTGCCAGCGCAGGGACATAGGTTTCTGTGTTTGTGTGCATGCGTGTGACTGTGCACATGTGTGTGAGTGTCTATGTGTGCACGAGTGCACAGATGGGGCAGTGCCTGCTCAGGGATGTAGGTTTCTGTGTGTGCATGTGAGTGTGTCAGTGTGCACGCATGTTTACTGTGGAGGTGGGGCAGTGCCTGTGTAGGGTTTTAGGTTTCTGTGTGTGGGCACGTGTGTGTGAGTACGTGTGTGTGCATGTGTGTCATTGTGCACATATGTTTAATGTGCAGGTGGGGCAGTGCCTGCACAGGGATGTATGTTTCTGTGTGTGCGTGCGTGTGTGCATGCGCACATGTGTGTGCACACTTGCTGGTGTGTTCAGGGAGGCACACACACGTGTGCACGTGCTCATTCATGTTCCTGTGCCGGCACGGTTCGAGGCTGACTTGCGTGCAGGAGAGAGGGGTGCAGTTTTTCAGATGACTTTGCACACTCCTCCAACACGCCTGATTGTTTGTCCCGTGTCCCTCCAGGCGCACATCCACCCAGTCGTCCTCCCAGAGGTCTCTCTCTCAGAGGTCGTCCTCCCAGAGAGCGACCGGCCAGACGGCGTCTGGAGGGACCACCTGTAGCATCTGCGCCAAGAGACTGAGCACGGACGCGCTGGAAGAGGAGGAGCACGAGAAGAAACGGAGGTAATGCCCTGTCCTCTGCTCCTGCGCCGGCCAGCACGGCGCCTCGCGTCTCCGTGGGCAGGGGCTCCGCGGGGATGTGCGTCCACAGCGGGAACCGGGACACGCCGTTAGCCGAGAGCCTGGAGGGTCACCCTTGCTTCTCGCGAAGGCAGTTGCCACTGTCCGGTGCTCGCTTTCTTCTCCCCCGTCTGTCTCAGTGAGTCCTACGGGATAACCGTGTGGGGCACTTTCCGGAGCGTTCTGCACAGAGGAACCTGCCCATGGGGCCACGACGCGGGGCCATGCCGTGTCTGTGCTCTGCCCTGTCCCACACCACGCCCCCCAGCTTTGCGCAAGGAGCAGCCTTCTCCTGTGAAAGCGCCGAGACCTGACAGGTTGAAGTTCATGTTGAGTTTCCACTGACGAGTCTTTAGCCGTGAACGCGGCCAGATTATTCCCAGATTGCAGAGAAGCAGGCAGAGACCTTACAAGAACCAAACAGGGAAGCAGCCCATGATGGTTTGTGTTAGACCTGCTCTGGTTTTCCCCCTCGCCTCCCTGGACTTTTCTAGAGCATTTTCTCTATATTCGAACACACTTAAAACCTGAAGGGAAAAATGAGAATTTGGCAGACACGTCCTATTTTGAACGCTGCACTACGAAGCAGGGATCCGTGTCACAGACACGGGCCGCTGAAGAGATCAGGCTCTATTGTGCAAACTTCGAATGATCCTTTCGAGGCCTTGTGGGAATGTTGCTGTATAAATTTTATGGTAAAACGATGATTTCTTTTGTGAGAGAATCACTTCAACATGTACATGTGACCAAAATCTGGATTTTCTGTTACTGGACTATTTAAAAAATGGTTCTGTCTTCATTTAGGGTGTGGTTGTGGGGAGTGAGAAGCCCCGACCCTTATAATCTTATTAATTATTCCTGGTGGTGACCTTGAACATGTCACAGAGACTTTCTATTCCCCAATTTCCATAGGAGTGAATGGGGGGAGGTCGACTTGTACTTACTGGAGGGGCTGGGCCATGGGATACTGAGATGTACGTGGTTGTGGTGATAATCGCTCTGGGGACAGTCCCCGCGATGGGAGGTCCTTTTGAGACCGGCGGGGCTCCTCTCCCGGAGCTGTCTGTTGACCCCCAGCATGTATGTGGGTTGTGTCCTGGGTCTCTCCAGCTCCTTGGTCCCCCAGCCCCCTGGGGCAGATGCTAGTTTAAGGTGTGGGACAAACCCGTCCTTGAAAGATGGACCCGTGGGTGCGTCGGTTTGAATCACTGTTGTGTCTTCGTGTGATGGAAAAGCCAAGGCGTCCTCGGCGTGCTCTGAGCTCGCGGCATGGCCCTCTGGAGGGTATGGTGGGTTAGAAATACCCCTTCGGTGCCTTTCCATCTGTCCTAGTGGAAGATGGGCCCAGAGGCATGAACAAGTCCATTTTAGGGGCTTCAGACTCCCTCTGTGTTGCTGTGTCCCGGCGTGTCTGCTCACAGCGACCCTTCTGAGCGAGTACCGGCCTCGGGACGGTGCCGACTGCACTCCCTGCGGGGAAGAAGGGCTGGTCCGTCTTCCCCATAACCGATTTATTGATGAGTCGTACACCTGCCCTTCTTACAACAGCTTCGGGGGTGGTATTTGCTCACTAGCTGGGCCGTAGTCTTGAAAGAAAGACATAAAATGAAGCAGAAATAACATCTCTCCCTTCCTGTGTGCCCCACTTGAGGAAAGGTTGGTGGCGAGCATTTGTGGCCTCCAGACCTTCGAAGAGCTCTTACCCTCTCTGCGTGTTGTGACACTAATGTCCCCTCTTCGCCCGGCAGGTACCAGTCTCTGGTGGCTGCTTACGGGGAGGCCAAGCGGGAGCGTTTTCTCCGGGAGCTGGCTGAGATGGAGGAGAACGTGCACCTGGCCCGCGCCCAGGCTCAGGACAAGCTGGACAGATACGCCATCCAGGAGATGGTGGGGGGACCCCGGGGCTCCGTGAGAGGCGTGGGTCTGGGGTGGGCTGGCCACGTGATGTGCAGATGGCCCGTGGGCAGGCAGCCTTGCTTGCCCGGGCTGCACCCCCTTCCCACAGCGCACTGACCTGTCCTTGCTTCCCGGGGCAGGTGGAGGACAAGCTGGCGGGCCACAGTCACTCGTACTTGGAGCGGATGCGCCGGGCCCCCGAGATCCTGGTGCGCCTGAGGTCCCACACGGTCTGGGAGAGGATGTCTGTGAAGCTCTGCTTCACCGTACAAGGGTTCCCCACGCCTGTGGTGCAATGGTGAGTGTGGGGTTCCTGCCCCGGGGCCCAGGGGGGCCGTCCCGCACTTCCTCTTAAGGAGCCGGGAACGGTGGGGGTCAACGTGCAGAAGGGGACCCCTGGGGGGCGCGCATGGCGCACACCCCGTCCCACTGCCCAGCGCGTGCGAAGCTTGACGGGACGTACGTTTAAACATTTATAAACACTCCCCGAACGTCCACTGTCAGCGCCGTACCGGCCCTGTTATTTCGACTTAGCTGAGTCTTCAGAGGATTGTTGTTCAAGAGTAAGTCCCTTCAGATGACCTGAACGCGGCGGGGCAGCATGTGGGGCCGCGGCCGAGGGCCTCTGGTGACGTCAGGGGTCGTGTCTCCAGGCCCCGCGGACCCTGTTTTCTGCACCTGTCGCGTACGTGTGTTTGTTTCCCACTTGCTGGAAGCGATAATGATCTCCCCCGAGTTCGTAGCCTGCTGCAAAGGCCACACGCATTTCCTCATAACCTAACCAGGTGCTCAGCACACTCAGAGAATTAGTGACGGGTCCCGTGGCTGTTGGCCAGGCGGGCTGGGGAGGCAGAGACCCACTGACTCTCGGGCTCAGGGAGACGAGATCCTGCCGTCCTGGGTGGGGCGTGGAGGCTGGCTTTGTGCCGTCGGGATCCTGCGTGACTCTGCAGAGAGGCTGGCCTGGGACCCAGCTAACGTGGGTGACATTCTTTTCTCGGGGAGTGATTTATCCTGCATTCCTCACGCAGTCTGAGGACACCCACGGCGCTCTCTGTCACAGGCTGAGGGTGGCCCCAACAGGCTGGGTTCTGCAGCAGCCGCTCTTTCCTGGGCGGATGGACAGACATGGGCCCTGGGTCAGTCCCCTCGTTGCACCACGGTGCACCGGCCCGAGGTCCTGGGAGGTGGGGCTCCCAGGGCAGGGCGATAACTTCCCCAGGGGCCCTAAGGAAGGCTGGGACAAAAGGCAAATGCCAGTCTGTCTTTGCGGTAACAGGCGTGTTTCCCTCGTGTAGGTACAAAAACGGTAGTTTGATCTGCCAAGCGGGAGAGCCGGGCAAGTACAGAATCGAGAGCAAGTACGGCGTGCACACACTGGAGATCAACAGGTAGGGCATTGGGGGTATGGCGGGCACCCCAGGGCACCTGCCTCACATAGCCAGCATCCAGGCCCAGGGCACCTGTCATAGTTAGAAACAGCCGCTCAGGGAGCACCACATCCGCTCTGTGCCATGGGACTTTGGTGGTGTTTCTGTGTTAATCTGTGGGAGAAGCTTTTGGAAGCTTCCGGAAGCTGTCCTTGCTGTCGGGTCCCCGGGAGGCAAACCCGCAGCTCTGTCCAGGCTCCCACTCTGGGAGCAAAGAGAATACACAGGTGGTTTAAGGCCAGATGTGGCCATCAGGTGCACAGGTGACTGTGGACGCGGACGACTTCCCCACACCTGCCTCGCAGGGGCGCAGCGAGGGCCAGGCTGGGGACCAGTCCCTAACCACACCCAGGCTCCTCAAAGGAATGTATGTTTTATAGCCCTGTGTACTTTGTGCGGTATCTTGTCCCAAGGAGAGGCTTAATAAATAGACTGAGTAAGCTAAAAAAAAAGAGAAAAAGAAATATAACTTCTTTCTTTTTTCTCATAAATTGAAAAGCGTGTAGCATACAGATGAGGAAAAGAGAATAAAAATCTTTCCTGTTTCCCACAGCATCAGTATTGTCCTGTAAAGATAACATTTCATTTTCCTTACACAGCACGTGCGTACACGCACGCACACCTAGATTTTTTTTTTCAAAAGTGAGATTCTGCCTCTCTTTTTCTGCTTCTGTGCACACACAGTTTGTATGTTATAAGATCATAACATGGTGCAGTCCCCTTCTCTCCCAGTACATTGCGACATTTTCCCGTGCTCAGCTGGTACTCTCACAGGTACGGGGGGCTCCTTCCTGTGCTGTGATTAGGGATCACGGCCAGACACCTGGGTTTGGATCCCTGATCTACCATGTACCTTGTGACTTTGGATGGGTCATGAACTCTTCCTGAATTGTGGTATTTTTATCTGAAATCATTATCAAGACACAGATGATAAACAATGGAACGATCATGAAAACCAGATAAGACCGTGTATGTTCCTGTGTGTCATATAAACACGTGGTGAGTGTGCATGTGTGTGTGTGTGTTAGTTAATTCAAGTTCTTTCTAGGAAACGACAAGGGAGACTAATACAGGTACAAAAAGTCGGTGAGGCATCGGGGTATATAACTGCATTGATTTTATTATTACTAACTTGTAGAGCGACTACATCGTAATTAGGCTTGGTTTACTTAGAGGTAAGATAACCCACAATAAAAGAATTGTTAGAAAATGGTCCCACTGAAACAGCCCCCAAGGTGACTCAGAGAAGTCACAAGTTAGCACAACAGAGCATCCATCACGGAACCTTCTCCCCAATGCCTTCTTACACCGAGGACATTCTTTCTTTTTTAATTAAGAGTTTTTAGACACTGGTTCTATTGACCCGTTTTATACACTGCTTACTCCGATGTGCACCATCTGCGTGACCACTGCGTGGGGCCCAGGCCCGCACGCCAGAGGGGAGTGGGGTGTGCACCCCTGGAGCAGGTGGGGGCAGGCAGGGAAGTCACGGAGAGGAGGCCTCAGGGGTTGGGGTCCTGCCGGACCCACCTCACAGGCTTCTTGCTGAAGGGGGGTGGGGCGATGAGATTCATTTGGGGGGTGGGGTGGGGAGACACCTGCCCAGACACGCTGTGGGGTGGGGGGAACCCTGAGCGGACCCCGCAGGCTTCCTGTATGTGAGGACATGCTCAGGGCTGAGGATCGGTGGGGTCTGACCCACATTGGTCGGGGAGGGAGTCTGCCATCTCCCCTTTTCCTACCCCCAGGAAGTCCGTGTCACCTCCTTTCTTTTCTTTTCTGCCTCGTGTTCACTGGGTCCTCCTCAGTCTCCTGCCTATGTTTTCCCTCCTTGTTTCCCAACTTCTGACGAGGGTCCCCCTCCAGGCACTGCCCCCCTGGCGCTCCCAGGACCACACCCGCTGCCACACCGCACGTGGTCTGGCTTTCTCACCGGTCAGAGACGGCCTTGGAGAAGCCTCTGGAGGAGGCCTGGCGGGTTCCCCATCACCAGAACCAGCTCTCCACCTGCGGATGACTCAGAACTAGTGTTAGAAAGTTGTGATTAAGATGAAAATTTGTGACAAGTCATTATCCTGGTTTTTCAGGTAAATCTGAGGCTGTTTCAAAAAGCTGGGGGTCTGGGCCTTCTGGTGCCATTTATTGAGAACCTACTGGGTTCCAGGCACTGGCTAGATGCTTGGGATACAGCACTAAAACCAAGGTCCTCTTCTTTGAGGTCTTACAGTCTGGCAAAAGGAGGTGAACTGTAAGAAAAGTAAAAAAGTGAATTATATAGTAAATCAGGAGGCCACAGTGCTGGGCGTGGGGAGTGGGGCCCTGTTGGTGTGGGGGTGGGCTGGCATGTGGGGTGAAGTAGGGTGGCAGTCAGGCCGGCCCTCACTGAGAAGATGTCTTCAGAGCAAGGCTGTAGGAGATGCAGAATGGGACAAATCAGGGCAGTGAGCCGGGAGGTCTCCATCCCAAGGGAGCAGCTCTGGCAGAGGCTCAGAAACCGTGGGTCCCAGCTCCTGGGGCTGGAGCGGTGGGTGGCCGGGAGGTCAGAGGTGTAGCTGGGGCTGCGGGGGTCAGACGGACGCTGTCAGCCGCAGCAAGGACTCTGACTTTTCCTCAGGGTTGTGGGGATGCGGAGGGTCTGAGCTCTGGCTCTGAGCACGGGCTGGGCTGTTGGTGGCGGGCTGGCCTGGCTAGGACGACACGGTTCTGTGCAGGTGCTGGAGGGAGACCAGCGGGAGGTGGATGGTCAGACATGGGGTGTTGCTGAGAAGGGGCACCGCTGGGGTGAGGCAGGCTGGGGGTCTGCACACACGCTTGCGCAGAGGGTCGGGGGGCCTCCGCACCCTGGGTGGGAACACCCCTTCCGCATTTCCCAGAGAATAGCTTTCTCTGCTTTGATTTCTAGAATGTGTGGCTATTTAGTAGCCAGAAAGCCACCCTGTGTGGAAGGAGAAATTGCCTTCATTGTGGAGCAAGCTTGTGTCCAGGGCCGTCTCTTCTCTAACCGGGGTGCCCTGTGGCCGGTTGGGGGTCCCTGGTCAGCCCGAGGTTTCACCCAGCTTGCTTCTGAGTTACTAACTGCATTTACAAGGGAAAACCATTTCCCGTTCTCCAGTATGAGACTTTGACTCTTATCCTGGGGATGTTAGCAGCTTTGAACCTGGCGCACGGACAGACCCGTGAGTCTGTCAGCTGCGTTTGTAAACTGAGGCCCGGGACGCCGTGGCCCGTGGCTCAGCAGCCAGGCCCCCCGCAGACGCACTCGGAGTTTGCGGAGACGGACGCGTGCAGCACTGGTCTGCCCGGGGACCCCGTTGGCAGCTGCCGGGCCGAGGGGAGCCTGACTCCCGCCGTCTCCACGCGACTCAGCTGTTCATGCCAAAGTGCTGAGTCGCCGTCATTTGATCCTTGGCCGTTCCGAGTGCGGCGGAATGTGCCGCCGCCCCCAGAGGGCAGCCTGGGTGACGTCTGCTGCTATGAATACCCTCTGGCCGCTGAGCTCTCCAAGTGCTTCCCTCCCTCCTGCGCTGTCGGATTTAGACTGTAACCGACAGGGGTTTATGTGCTCGCAGGACTCCCCAGAGACTCATAATGTGAGTTCTCTTTCTTCGCAGAATTTTAATGCAGCCGCGCTCGTGTTTTATGAAAGCGCACGGAACGACCTCGGGCGGGTTTTGTTTCCAGCACCCCGCCTCCTCCCCGTGGCTCGCAGCACGGCTTCCGGGCCGACCTCCCGGCACTTGGGTGTAGACGTCTGTCTTCAAACTCTCCTTTGAGTTAGATTGTGAATCCAGGGTGGACGTGGCTCCCAGGGAAGGATGCTGGGCCCAAGTCCCCAGCACAGGTCAGGGGTGACGTGGGCACTTGTCCGAGTACCCTCCTGGCGGGAGATCAGCGGGCACGATGCTGTTTCGTGAAGCTGGTCTGGGGACACCTCGAGACTCGGAGATGTACAAGGGCCCCACGGGTGTGTGTGAAGATTGGGACCTCTGTCTGTTCTGGGAAGCCATCCAAACAGAACACGAAACCCTCTGCCTCTTAACCATGTGCTTGCAATTTCTCCCAGCCCGAGGGGACGGGCCGCAGCAGGCTCTGGAGGCTGGCTGCGTGCGGCCTGGGGGAGGAGAGAGGGAACGCAGTCCTGCTGGGGTGTGGGAAGACATGTAGGTCCCCGGATTATCTGTGGACAAAATTCTGAGAAGGGCCCAGGCTCCTCACAGTCTGGGTGCCCGGCCTGTCCGCCCCTGGGCGTGTACTCGCGCCGGCGCTCCGGGTCCCGTCCTTCCCACAGCCGCACACTGGGCGGCACTGGCGAGCCCGGCCCCCAGTCCAGACAGGTGATCTTGTGATCTTGTCTGTGTGTCCCAGCGTGTTTCATGCCGTATAAAACACGCACAATGGAGCGATGAGGAAACAGTGTTGTAAGAGTGACACACAAGGACGGACCCGTACCTCCTCGCCCCGCGGGCTGTCCGGACGCCCTCCCTGGGACGCTCGCAGGGAAGGGGTGGGTCGGACTATCTGGGGGAGTGTCTGCCCTGCCTCACACGCCAGAGCACGCCACGGGTCCTCTCCGAGAGGAAGGTGCACCGACGGACACCCCAACTTCGAAGGGATCCCCGGCCCGCCCCCCGCTGAGTGGCACTTGCTAACTGGTCCCTTGAGAAGCCCGCGCCAGTGCGTTAGGTGGCGCTTCTCGCTATCGGATTCTCAGCTGGAAAACTGGCTCAGGATCTTGTGGGACAGGCCGCTGTGTGGGTGGGCCGCTTGCCCTCCCCGTGGGACGTTTGGTTTGAAAACTCTGGGGCACTGTCTGAGACCACTGGTGTTCAGTCCTCCCCAGAGGGGTTTGTGGCCGAGGGACCAAGAACACGGTGCTGAGATTAATGGTGGCCGACGGGACAGCACTGGGAGCCCTCGGTTTGCTCTGTCCGAGGACGCGCCGAGTGTGTAGCAGGAGGAGCCTCCCCCGTCGGGAACCGGAGTGACACTGGCCGAGGGACCGTGTCCCGGCTCAGTGGGTTTGCCCCCTGGCCGGACCAGCCTGCTGGCCGTGCTCCGTGAAGTGTCGGCTGTGCCGCTCCTCCTCCCTGAGACTCGGTCCCTGTGTGGTCACAGTCGGCCTTCGGGTCAGACTTCCGTCACGTGGTTTTCACAGGGTGCTGGTGGCTGTGCACGTGGCTCGGGCCGGAGGACCCTCCTGGCTGGGGCCGTGGGGTGCCGGCGCTCCCTCCTCTCACGTATCGTCATGGAGCCTGTGAGGGTGTCGGTTGTGGGGAAAGTTGTGGGGCTAATCCCAGAAGAAGGATCCCTTCCTGTTTGCAGAACGCATTCATGAAAATATAATGGTTTTGTTGTTCAGAAGAACTCACACAAGCACACGCACACACACAATAGTAATAATAATAATTCAAGCAGTGCCTGAGGGCTGGGGAGAGAAGTCACGGTGCCTTCCGTGTAGAGCCCCGCCCTGCCGCCCCCTACGGTCTGTGTGCCCTGAGGGAGTGTGTGTGAGGGCGCGGAAGGTGATGCTCAAGGGGGAGAAAGCCCCCGGGTCACGGAAGTTTTGTGTTTTCTCCGGTTAACAGGCTGCACCTGCTGTGAGTCTGGACAGTGTGTGGCCAAGCAGCCCCTGGGAGGCCAGCCTAGGTCTGCAGCCTCACCGATGGGCTTTGTAGCTGGGCTCGCGTGTCCACACGGTGAGCCTAGGGCCAGTGCGCTGTGTGCCCAGCCACAGGGGCGGAGCTCTGCCCGTGCGGCTCCCGGGAGCCCGGCACTGAGAGCCCGCGGGAGGAGCCGGAGGGAGCTCCGCGGAAGAAGGGACCCGGTTCTCAGCAGAGAGCACGGCGCTCCGAAGCCTCCCTCCCCATTATCAGAGACACTGTGTGCTTTTTGGTCAAAGGAAATATTTTCAGCTCCAAGGAAGAAAATCAAGTTACTAACGAGCCCCCGAGAATGGGTTTGTCTCTGAGGCACAACTTCTTGATGCATTTGAAAAGGAAGCCTGGGCTCAACTTTTTCTTTTGTTCCTTGTGAGTGGGGTTTTGTGTGTAATTTCTCTCCCCAGATTAGTATCACGGTCCCGATGCCCACTTCTGGGACAGGCAGTGGGCGCTGCTGGAAAGAGCGCAGATCCTGGATTTGCGCACACCTAGTTTACCCAAGTTCTTCACGTGTCAGTCTTCTCACCACGCTGCTATGTAGCGGTGTGTGTTCTCTGGGGGCTGGGGCTGCGACACAGGACACTCAGGTCAAAGTCGCCGCAGAGCTGGCATCTAGGAAACGCTCAGCCGACGGGTCCTCCCCTTAGGTCCCTGGTCCCGGGGACAATTTCCAGATTCTGGTGGGAACATAGCTCACAGCCAAGAAAATAAGCTTCGGCCTTTGTAAGATCGATCTGGGGGTACAGAGGAGCCTGCCCTGGAGGAGCTGGGGTCCGGGGGTTGCGGGGTCATTTTTCTTTCTGGAGGGGACACGCCACCTCCCCACGACTCCTGAAGGATGGCTGCCGTGGGCAGGGCTGCAGACAGCTTCAGAGTATCCTGGCGGCTGCTTCCTGTCTGGGGAGCCTCTGCTTTGGGGACTTGGGGAATAACCTCTCACACACACGGGAATGTCTGGTGGGGAGGGAGGCAGAGTGGACTTTCCCGGAGGCTGAGGTCAGTGGAGCCTTCCCACTGGCCAGATAAAGCCACGAATTCCACCCCAGTAGGAAAATGCAGGCAGCGGAGAGCAGAGACTGCCCCTCGAGGACGAGACTGAGGCATTTCAGGGAAGTCTGTATGGCCGGTTTCCCTCAGAGGCAAAGACAAACCGTGGTCTGGAACCAGACATTGCCATGTCTGGAACTGACACCAGCTCCCGGGACGGAGCGGACACTGTTCTTAAACTGGTCGCTCATGAACAGAGGATCTAGGTCCTACAAGAGGCTTTCAAGGAACACCCCATTCAATCTGGGTCACGGGCTTCCAGGGCGGTCCCACAGTGCATTTAGGACGCTGCCTCGCTTTCTCTCTCTCCAAGGGCAAACTTTGACGACACAGCAACATACTCGGCCGTGGCCACAAACGGGTACGGACAGGTGTCGACCAACGCCGCCGTGGTGGTGAGAAGTGAGTGGTCCTGACCGGGTTGGGGGCACGCTCGCGCCTTCTGCCTTTGTCGGAGCCCTTCACCCGCTTCTCTTGCAGGGTTCCACGGGGACGAGGAGCCGTTGCACTCGGTGGGACTCCCGATTGGATGTAAGTCGATGCTGTTCCTTGCTGTGCAGAAAAACGTGTAGCACTAGCACGCGATCACAAAGAAAGTGTTTTCTGAGGGTCAAATCTTCTTAAAATCATATTTCAAAAGACTCTTCCCAATCGCTCCTGGCGGTGCTGGTCCACGGAAAGCCCGTTTCCGTGTCCTTCTGTGGCCAGGGGGCATTTTAAGACACTGGTGAAACTGGGAGACTTACATGTTTGAATCGGGGGGCAAAGCCTGAGTCCCAATCCTTGAGCCGAATGCTGGCTCCTGCCACCGTGTCCTGTCCCCCACCCCGATCGTCCGTGCCCACTTCAAGCAAGCAGCTGCGTGGATCGGGACGAGGATGACATGATGTTGGCTCTGGGTTGCCTCCCGCCTGCCTCCAGAGGGTCGAGCCTTCCCCTTCCTGAATGTGTGACCCGCCCGTAGTTCGTGGGTCGGCACTCCGCTGTCTCCTGTACCCCCGCCTCCGCTAATGCCTTCCTTCTCCGCTCTGAGTGCGAGTGCAGGGCGGCCAGCTGTCACCCTCCCATGCCCTATTTGCAGGGTGACCTGCAGCAGCCCTGTCTTGGGGTGAGTCGGGGTGTCTCTGAGCCCCTGGGTCAGTTCTCGGCCAGCAGGCGGGGACGCCGGGCTGACCTGAGCCCCGTGAGTGTGGGGAAAGCAGCCATGTCCGGAGCATCTCTAGGACCAGGACTTGGTAGACCCACGTACCGTGGCTCCTTGATGGTTCGGGAATGAGGTTCAGGACTGGCCTGCCCTTCCAGGTTATGACTGTATCAATCTGGGGTCCGGATGTTACAGGTCAAGTGTGGGTGAGGGAGGACCTGACCCAAACCGTGCTCCAGGGGAAAGCCTTTCTGGCAGCCGTGCACACCTGTGTGTCGTTGGCTTTGGGTCATCTCTGCATCGGTCATACTGGATTCTCGTGTGCCCCACAATCAGGAGTCGTGCAAGACCACGGATGGGCGAGCAGGACAGGGGCGGGGCCACATGGGGGGAGGCAGGGCGGCCCGAGAATGTGTGTCGGTGGCCCTGGGAATGCACGGACGATGGCGAGCCCGTGGGGGGATGCCTGATGAGCCAATGATGCTGGCAGCCAGCCCAGATGCCGTCCCCGGTCTCTCCTTGGTGACAATTCCGTCTAAAGAAAAACTTGGCGGTATTCACACTGGACTGAACTGTACAGATCGTGACCTAATAGATGCTCGGGTAGTCAACGCAGGCGAATAGTTTGCCATTTTTTTCCAATTGCTTTTTAAAAATTGAAGGTCATTTGGCATCGTACTTTGGTGACCCCTGGTAGGAGCTCAGGGCCTCCGGAGGTGACGGAACTCCCCTCCCTCCCTCCCGCCCTTCCCCCACGCCCTCCCACGGCGGAACCATCCTCTGGAAACTCCCAGCTCTTTAGAAACATCTCCCCTGCACGCACATGTTTCTAAATTATCTATCTTTGTTTGTTTTGAAAATTTACTGTGCATTTTCTTCTGAAATGTACCCCCCGCCCCCAGCTAAATGTTATGTTTTGAGATTTAATTTGCTGCCTCTGGATATAGTTGGTCCATTTTCTGTGCAGAGTAGAGGGCGTTGTGATGATGAACACAGCACAGAGGGTTCTGAAGCCCAGAACCCTGTGCCTCGGGCTCGAGGGGACCTTCCGGAAGACCCACAGGTTGGGGCTGATGAGGATTTCAGCCCTTTGGTCTCACCACGGGGCTCGGAGTCCATGTGACCGCCCTGTGCCTGGAGGATGGGCCGCATCTCCGTGCCGGTCTTCTCACTCCTCGGGAGGGGCTCGGCATCTACTACTCGCTGCTGGGGAGGAGTCAGAGCCCAGGGCGCCGGCCGAGTGGGGGAGGCCCTCCTCCGGGTGTGTGGGAGGCACCTTCTCGCCTCTGCAGCCGCACACGGAGAAGGGAGCCCGGGTCTCCTCGCGGAGCCCATGGTCAGGACATTGTGCGAAACCTCATCACCTTCCAAAGCCCCCGCCTCCTAATACCTTCCTGCTGGGGCTGAGGGCTTTGACGTGTGAATCTGGGGAACATGCTCTCTCGGGGGTGCGGGTGCGTGAGGTCCTGGGGAAGTACACCTGCCCTGTGGGTGCCGGCCTGCCCCCCGCTGTAACCGTGTCCCCTCATCTGTCCAGTGCCCCCTTCGTCCGTGATTCCGTACATGCACTTTGACGTCCAGTTTCTGGAGAAGTTTGGGGTCACCTTCAGGAGGGAAGGTGAGACGGTCACTCTCAAGTGCACACTGCTGGTGACCCCGGAGCTGAAGAGGGTGCAGCCGCGCGCCGAGTGGTACAGGGACGGTGAGTACGAGGCAGGGACCGCCGCCCCAGGGGGACGTTGAGCTCCTGTCACCCGGCTGAGGACGATGGGTAAGCTCGAGGGGTGGTTTGGCGGTGGCGCCCACCACGGGGATGACCGCAAGCAGCACGGCCAGCAGAGCACCTTGACCTCCACCCTGGGGATGTGGACAGGTTAGCAGGGATGCCCACGTTTAGATGAGTCCCAGGAGTTTTCTCTATAGCTTCACAAGAAGGGTCTTCCTGTGATTAAACAGGACAAGTGCGGTGTCTGTATCCGCCCGTTTTTCCTTGGCTGGGACAAGTGCTCACAGTTACTAGAGGCCGTGGAGTCCTGGGCTCTGTCCTGAGTGTGAGGTTTCTCTTCCACTGGGTCTGTGGGACAGGGTTGGGGCAGCTCCCCGGGGCCTGTGGGGGCTCCCCCAGTTGGGGATAGGGCAGACTCCCCTTCCTCCTCAGTCTGCACCCCTCTTCGGGGCCGTCCTCCTCGCCCTGTGCGTGTGCGCGGCGCAAGGGCATTTTACTGCGTCTCCTGTGGGCAGGGGCTCCTGAAGGACTCTGGCTTTCTGTGGGGCCAGCGAGACTGTCCTGCTTATACTTACTTGGGACCTAACACCATGCAAAGTATTACAAAGAAGCCCACGCCAGCCTGCCCAGACGGTATTTATAATCGAGCTGGGGGAAAACAGAATTGCAAAGCCCTGTCTGAGAAAGTGTGAGAAGTGTCCCAGAACAGGGTGTGACGCTTTGCCAAAGGCATGGTACTGACCATGTGTGCCGACCCTGTGGGGCCCAGCGAGGGGCCAAGACTCGGTGGTGACAGAGGAGATCTAATTTACCCTCTGCCTGCCCTTGGACTTGTCCTTCACAAAATAAGACCCCACATCCATGTCCCCAGGACAGGGGGTATCCTGTGCCACGGTCGGCTGGAGGGCCCCGTGCCCCATTCCACGGTGGTCTGCATTTGCCCCAGGGCTCGGTGTTGGAGTTGGTCTATTTTTTCCCATTAGGAACAATTCTTGTATGAAGTCACTGTCGCGTGCCCGTTCGCTACCTCGGGGCCCATTCTCGGAGTGTGCGTTGGGCGCCCAGACAACGCGCTCGCTGAAGGGTTTTGGCCCATGTTCCTGCTCGTGCGAGTGGCTGTGCTCCTGCAGGCCGGAGGGGGCAGCGTCCCTCTGTCCCGTCCAAGCAGGGATGCAGCCGTGTGGTTGTGTCTGCCTGACATCGGGGAGGCCAGGGGTCACTCCTCCTTTCGTCTGCTGCTCCTTGCTTTCCCACGTTGCTGTTTCTTGCCCGGGCCCGGCCTCCTCTGCAGCGGCCGGCTCTGTCCTGGCTTTCGGCTGGACGGTTTAGTGCTGCTACAGGTCGCTGTGAGGCACAGCGTGGAGGGCCGTCACTGAGCCAGCCCTGGGCACAGGAGGTGTCACCTCCACAAAACCATGGTGGTGCACTTGGTGAGACACTGCGGGGTGTGCCAGGGCAGGGAGCTGGCCCCGGCCACCGCCATCCCCTCAGGCAGAGACATGCTGTCTCTGTCCTTCCGACGCTGACCATGGTCCCATCCCGCAGATGCCCCTTCCCTTGCCATTGGCCGTTGTGTGTGCTCTCGTGTGAAACGTGGCTCTCAGACGGTTGGGAGGCTGCCGCTTCCCCGCTCCGCGTGAGGCTCGAAACCCCGCCCCCCGCACCAGGCCCCTCTGCGCACCTACAGTCCGATTTCCTGGACGGTTTCTGAAGCCGTCCCGCATGGCCACTCTGCAGATGTGCTGCTGAAGGAGTCCAAGTGGACCAAGATGTTCTTCGGAGAAGGCCAGGCCTCCCTGTCCTTCAGCCACCTGAACAAGGACGACGAGGGCCTGTACACCCTGAGGATTGTGTCCAGAGGGGGCATCAGCGAGCACAGTGCCTTCATGTTTGTCCGAGGTGTGTGGCCGTGGGTGTGCAGGCGGCATGGCGAGGGCGCGGGCGCGGGAGGACGGGACCCCTGACAAGGGCGGAGCAGGTGTGTGTGGGGGGCGGTTCACTGTGCTCCTTGCACACCTCCTGATGGGGACATCGGGGCTCTCGTCTTGGGCATGTCTGACTGTCCGTCCACGACTGACTGTCCGTCCATGACATGAGGAAGCTATAGCTGGGAACAGGTCAGGATCCTAACTTCTGCGTCTCTGTTGATGAGTTGGTAGAATGTATAGAACGACTTCTAAGCCTGAACACGCCTGTGTTGCTAATTCTCAAGAGATTTCAAGAAGGAAGAGGGGTCCTGAGCAAGGAACACTGGTGGGGGGGCTCATGCCCCAGCTCGCTTGTGAGGCGAGGCCCTGAGCTAGGACTGCTGTCACCAGCACCCCCCACCTTGGTGGGCGAGCGTTCGTGGCACCAGGCCGACCAGCCCCCGCTTGGAGCTTCGCGTCCAGAGTCCGTGTGCACCCGTTTGCGCCTCCTGCCTTCCCCGGGGGCCGCAGGACCCCCACGTTATGGGAAGGAGAACAGAGTCCTGACAGAGCAGGCGGGCACACGCACACGTCACACCCTCGCGGTGGTGAACGGACATGGGGACCCGCCACCTGGATGAAATCACGTCTATCCTGCGTGCACAGTGCCCGGGGATGTATCTCCGCACGTGCGTGTCTGTGCACATGCAGAAACGCCTCCTCGCATGTGTGTGCATAACCTCAAGCTCTGACACTGACCTTATAAGCCGGTGCTGTGATTCTCTGTCTCCAGTGCAGACGTGGGTCTCAGAGGGGACTTCTCCAGGGTGGGGCAGCTGGGGGCCAGCTGTCTGGGCCTGAAGCTGGAGGCTTCTCGTGCACATTCCCAGCCCCCGGGCCCTTCTGGGCCCCTGCTGGAACTCTGCCCTGCCTCTACTCCCAGGCCCCCTGCCGTCTCTGGCTTCAGGACCCTCCTCTCCAGGGCCAGCTGAGCCACCCTGAGGATCCCAGAACACTTGGTTCCAGTTGGCGGGCTCAGCTGTCCTGAGCCTGTGGCTGGCCTCAGGCATTCTGACGGCCTGCCTGGCCTTGCCCTCCCTTGCTTGCTGTTTCCCTCCCGCCGGCTCCAGGTTCCGTGGGCCTGGAACAGCTCCACCAGCATATTACTGTTTCCAAACCACAACTGTCGGATCAGAGCATGAAGGAGGGGCTGTATCATCAGGGGATACTATAATTAAAAAAAAAAAAAAGGAATACATAGAAAACAAATCCACTCGCCCTCCCCACCACCCGCCGAGACAATATAAACTTGCTGGGCTGGGGTTTTAGACCCTTCCACAAAGTCTTACCATTTTTATTGGGCTGGCATTAAAGTGCACCTTCCATTTTCTGTGCTTGCCTTCTGGCAAGATGTTTCACCCCATAAAAAGGCAGTAAGTACCACATAGCTGAGCTCGCCTCACTTATTCAGCACCCGCAGCAGGAAGAAAATAATGCATGTATGAGGGAGTTTCACTGGCCTGATTACTTTCGGAGGATTCTGAAAGCAAAAGAAAATGTTTGGCTCAACGTCAAGGAATCCTTAGTTTTTAATACGTTGAGGAAAATCGAAGACAGTACACAGTGTTCACGGCCACCCAGGCAGTACAGACTGCAGATAAGAAGTTAACGGTGTGTGTGCCCTTTGGGACCAGCACTGCTGGCCTTTGGGGCCCCTGTAAGAACGTCTGAAAACCAGATGCACCCGAGGCGTGCTCACCGACAAGCCTGAGAGTGCTGTACGGACCCAACGTTTGTTCACTGTTTGCAGAAAAGAAAAAGCTTAAGTCCTCCATCCTGTGAGGACTTGGAAAGATAGAAGCATCTAAGGTAATAGTTCCCAAGTGTTGGAAAGGCCACCTTCTCAGCTTCATTTCTTTGGTCAGTTTTTGATGTGACATTATGTGACAACCTGCCCTCCAGAGAAGGTGACCTTCCATTTCAGAATCAATTATGAAAAATCATGGACTTCAGTATTTTCTAGACGATAGAATGTTTTTGACTTTGAGAACTCATAAACAGGTTTATATTTCTTGTCACCAAGCCATCATAGTCAAAAAATAGTCAAGTCATTGAGACGCAAGGAGCAGGTCGAGTGGACTCGAATCGGGGAGATGCAAGTCCGAGTTTAAAGAAGTGGGCAACAGGCTTTCCGGCACCCAGACCATGTGCCTTTCCTCCCCTCCCGCCCCTGCAGACGCTGACCCGCTGGTCACTGGGGCTCCGGGCGCGCCCATGGACCTGCAGTGCCACGACGCAAACCGCGATTACGTCATCGTGACTTGGAAGCCACCCAACACCACCACCGAGAGCCCTGTCATTGGCTATTTCATTGATCGGTGAGTGCCTGCTGGGGACGCTCCTGAAGCGGAAGCTAAGGTTGGCCCAGACGACGTCCTTGGAGAGTCCTCTAAGCTCAAGTTCATGACACTGTTCTTGTCATGGGGAATTTGGTGGGATCGGGGCCTTCCCTCTGGTTACTTAGCACGTGACTGAGCTGTTGGAACACGGTGGGGTTAGGGTAAGTAGATTTCTGTGTGTTATAATTATTTGTCTGTTCAACACCCTGTATTGAATCCACCCCCCAACTTTTCTAGACACACGAAGCCCCAGTTCTGGGTTCTCTGAAGAGTTCAGTCCTGCTTCTCCCTCTAGAGGAGGAGAAAACGGGCACAGAAATGTAGCTGGGAAGGTCGCCGGCCCATTCGTACCCAGGTCCTCATTAAACTGGGTTTTCTTCTTGCTTCCAAGAAAAAAAAAATACTGATATTTCAAAGTCTAAAACATTGGAATTTACTTTGGAGCTAATCACTTAACTGTGGACATCATTAAATTCATGGGTCTTTTCACGTTCCTTTACTGGGTGTGGTGCTCAGGGGCTGGGAAGGAAACCAAGCAGAGCAGGTGAGTTTATTGGACACGCGGTTTATGCCCCAATTACACACTTCAATTGCCAAGAGAAATTACAGTAAAAAACAATGAATTCAGAAGTAACACAATCATTCTGGGGAGGAATTTAAGATGTTATATGTATAACACACAGTAAAATAAGATGTTTATTTCAGAAAAGCCATTCAAGTCTGGTTGCTTTTTGGTTGGTTAAGTTCCCTTTTCCACACCAACAGAGCTACTTGTTTGGGTAAAACATTCCCCGTTGGGATAGTATTTGGAAATGCTAAGGTCAGATTTGTGGAGTGCATTGGGTAGGGTTTACCTTGAATTAAAACCAAGAATAACAAAATAGAGCGATTTGCTGTTTTCCTGTGACATTTGAACATTTTTTCAGCCATTTGGCAAAAACAATTTCATGGCCCTTCTTAGGTAGGGACCCACGCCCCTCCCTCCGTCATTAACAGGGACGAAGCAAACAGAACCTTCTGGTCGGAGGACCGTGTAGCAGCCAGCTTGGGGGTTAGCTGAGGGGCTCCCCTGCCAGACTCAGTTTGGACCGTGTTCTGGCTGTAACAGGTTAGCACCTATGGGTCACAGAACTTGCATTAAAATTCTGGATCATTAGGAGAAAGAGATTTGGTTCTCTCTAAAGCAAATGTACAGCCCTGGCTTGGAATAGCTCCAAAAGATGACTTTTCTGACCTTGCTGTGTTCTCCTGGGGATTTGACGTGGGGTTTTGGTGCTGTAATTTCTCAGCCTGTGAAAAATGCAAGAAGCTACTCTCTGCATTTCCACGGGTCTGGTCAGGACTTAATGTTTTCAAAAGACTTCTGAATTCCACATGTGAGATGCTGGAAGGACACATCTCATCGGCACTGGGACAGACTGAGCCTGCATTCTGGACAGATTTCACTCCCCAGGCTCTCATACAACGGGGCGCGTGTGGGGGCCCGGCGGTGAGGGCCGTTTCATTCCGTGCACTGGCATCAGGCCTGCAGGGGGAGCGTAGAGCACTGCTGATTCTGCTGTGTAAGTTGGAAAAAGGACTGTCGAGGATGCATCCCACGTGACTTTTGGAGGAGATTTTGCCTAAATGTGGTTGAAGGCTGGAATGGGTCTTCAGGCTACAAATTATAAGGCTTCTACATAAGTAAATAGATATACTTTACATATCCTAAATGGCTCTGTCTTTTGAAGATTGCTCGTACGGCTGCTTAGGTAAATCTAGTGCTGTAATGCTTTGACTTCTACAATGTCATGTGATTTCTGGTTAGAGCTGTTTATATACATGGAATATGTGTGTCATGTACACACAGACCCATGTGTATTTATTCAACTGATGTATTTGTGGTTCTCCCCTCGTTTTTATTTCAAGATGTGAAGTGGGAACTGACAATTGGGTTCAGTGCAATGACGCCCCTGTGAAAATCTGCAAATACCCCGTGACCGGACTCTTTGAAGGAAGGTCGTACATTTTCCGCGTGAGGGCAGTCAACAGCGCGGGCATCAGCAGGCCTTCCAGAGCGTCCGAGGCCGTGGCTGCCCTTGACCCTATTGACCTCAAGAGGTTACAAGGTAGGTTGTGCAGATTTTAAGCCCCAGAGGTGTCTTGGAATCTTGAGGCCATTTTTATGGGATTTGTTCTTTCTTTTCTATGCTCAGCTGTGTACGAGTTTTAAGAATGTCTTCGAGAACTGAGCATGGCGCAGTGACATTTTACAGTGTCCGTATGTCCGCCGGTGTCTCTTTAGGAGAGGGTGTGGCCAGGCCGGCATATTGTCCGACACCAACCACACCGCCTTCCCAATGCTCTTCACTGAGATCCAGTCAGACTGGTTGAGAATTAGCATTTTCTTGGTCCATCGATGATATAATTTCAACACATTTGATAAGACTCGGAAGGCTTTGAAACCAAGCCACTTTATTTCTGAATGGCAATTTCATGTGACACAGATGCCCAAAAGAGCTTAGACCCTTAAATATGGTGTGAAGTGAGCCCCTACATTTCCCTTGCCCACGTGGTCTTTTAAACCCAGTACAAAGGTCTGAGAAGCACTAGTATGAAGACTTTCCAAATAACATCTGATTCCCTCCGAGTTGCGAGTGTGTCGTGATCATAACGCCGGGCGGATTTGGATCTCGTGCCGAGTTAGGGAAACTGGGGCTTTCTTGATGAAACCTTTGGACGCCAAATTCAGCATCTACTTTTCTCTCTGCAGCGGTCCATTTGGAGGGGGATAAAGAAATCGTCATCTACCAGGATGACCTCGAAGGTGAGTGGCCCTTGAGCACTGGGGCCCCACTGACCGTACCCTAGGGAGTCAGGATGGTGGCCAGAGACCAGAGCGATGGACAGCCAGCACCCAGGGGCTGGTTAGAGCTGCGTGTCAGCACTGCAGCCGTAGGTCAAGTCTGCAAGCGTGTGGCCTGTAGAAGTTAGAAGACAGGAACGAGGTGGGTGGAGGGCAAGGATGGGATCCAGGGTCCTCCCGGGTGGTTTCATGGCTTCCATGTCGGTCCTGGGTCCTCTTGGGGCTGTGCAGAGAATATCAAACTGAACCCGAGTCTTTGTCACTGGCTGAGGCTGGGCCCTATCTCTCAGACTCCATGACTAGAGGACTATTTCAGTTTTTCTTTTTAAACAAAAATTTTTATCCTTAGTATTTTAGTTGAAATGGATGGTATTCTCCCTGTCAGTATCCCTGGCCTGAAATTCACATTTCCCTCACTTATATTGGATTTTCTGAACACTCTTTTTGATATTCCTTTCAGAGATAGCTAGGAGGATCGATTTATTAAGGAGGGGAACCTGGCATTATTAATCAGAAATCCAGAGATTTTAAGCAGACTTATAATTAGAGTTCGTAGAGGACAACAAACAAGTTACAAATGAAGAAACATGAATTTGGAGCTAGTGCCTCAGGAGATGCACTTTGAAGCTCTCTTTTAAAAAATTGCTGCAATCCTAATATATATATATATATATATATATATATATATATTTGTAAATAAAAAAATAAAACTGCTGCGGTCCCAATGCTCTTTCCCCAAAGAGTTACAGACCTAGGAGTTCATTGGTTGATTTTCATGTTTGCCCCCAGACGGTCTCCAGACATTGGATCTTCTGCACCTATAATGGCTTTTCTCTAGTATCTCTAGAAGAACACATAATTCCCAGAGGGACACTCCTCAGTGACAATTAAAGTCTTAGTTAAGACCTCCACTTCCAGGCATACTCAGAAATTGGGGAAGGTGCCCAGTAAATAAGCCACAAAAGAAAAATAATCCAGGAAAGGTTGACTTCCTATGACTTCTAAATAAAGGATTGAAGTGTAGCTATTGGAAAGTGTAAAATCTGGCTCCTGCTTGCAGAGGAAGCCATGTTCCTGTGCAGACCCACCTGCATAAATGTGCATTTTTGACATGAGAGCAGGAAGGGAAGTTGTCTTAGTCACCTCCAGCAGGCCAATGGGATCAGGGTGGAGGGAAACACCCCAGGTCTCCTACATGGGTGTGTAGACATTCAAACAAAACTACCTTCCAGGAGGAGGCAAAATCTGCATTATGTAAAGGTGGGAGCATGAAACAGTGTAATTGAGCCCCCCAGTGGGAACCGTGTCCTTCTGGGGAACAGAGCTCTCTCTCCATGTAGAGACAGGGATGCGCTGCGGGTAAATCCCAGCTACGAAGTGCCAAAGCCAGAACTAATGCATCGTAACACACTTAGCTGTCTGATCAAGAGAATGGAAGTTTGGTTTCCCAGACACAGTGGATCTTCTTTCCAGCCAGAATAGACTCACTGATACCATTTGCCATCTTTCTTCTTACATTTCTTTTCTGTGAGAAGGCAGCTTTTCTGGTTGCCTGGGGCCTGTACCTTCATTTTGTTTGATTCCTTCTTGAACTTGGCTGCATCCTGTTCATTTGTGGGTAATGTTCCTGGGGCTCAGCCTGTAGCTGGTCATTCGAGGCAGAGGCAAGGACCCTCAGCTGGAAGGCTGTCTGGCTGGGACACTGAGCCTCCCGGCGCTCCTGCTCTCTGGGAAGGCTCTGCATGCCGCAAAGGGGTGGTCCCCACCATCTGGTGCAGACCTGCGAACTAGGGTAAGCTCCGTGACCTGCTTTAGGGTCTGCGAAGTTCATGAGTTTACTTTATTCACTTTAAACAACAAAAGCTTTCTCTAATTAAAAAAAAAAAAAGTCCTTAGAGAAAAGGGATTTCCTGATGCTTTCAAGCAACCCATTTCTGTGTTCAAGTACATGTTGTTAGGAATTTCTTCCCATCACTCGTCTTTTTTCTTCGTGGAGGCCCGTCTGCTTCTTTTTGTGCTAGAAAAGGACGGATAAATGCTGTTTATTTTAAGGAAAAGGAACACTCCTTTGTTGGCTAGAAAAAAAAAATCACCCCTCTGCTATTTTATTTACTTATTTTTGCTCATTTTTTCCAATCAGTTTAATCTTTGTGTCCTCCTCAAAGGTTTTAATTACTGTCAGGGCTCTTCTCTGAATATCATCTGACTCTCGCAGCCGTTCTTGCGTTGGTCCCTTGAGAAATGCACACCCTGCTGTGGGGCTGGCCAGAGCAGGCTTCTGCCGCGCTCGGCCAGCCCAGTTTCCCTCTGCTAGTCCCACGTCCAGGTGTCCGGGGCTGTGGGGCTGGCAGTGGCAGCTGTGTAGAAGGTAGAGTGCACTCCGGACGGTGCGGTGCCCATGACACATGTGCTTTCTCCTGAGCTCTGTCAACCAGTCTGAAAATTCCCAAGACAGTTTATGTTTTTGAGACTCAGAGAAAAATCTCCTGGCAGCCGGCTGTGGAGTCTTTGGGCGGGTAGGACGAAAGGCAGGATCTGCAATTGGGGGATGGAGGCCTGGGCCCCTGTCCTGCCACTCCACAGCCCAGGGATCCCAGGGAAAGCTTGAGCCTTTCTGAGCTCCATCTTCACCCCATATGGATGTGGCTTGTGAGAGCGGGGTCCAGAGGGGTCCAGAGAGGTCCAGAGACTCCCGAAGCAGAGTCTTGGGCAGCACCTGTCACTCAGAGGCACCTGGTCCATGGGGAATATCTCCCAGGTGACATATTTGGAGTTGCCTCTCATGGTGGCTTTCTTTTTTCCTTCCTTCCTTCCTTCCTTTGCTCCTTCCTTCCTTCCTTCTTCCCTCCCTCTCTCCTTCTCTCCTTCCTTCCTTCTTCTTCTTCTTCCTCCTTCCTTCGGATTTATTTATATGCATGAGGGGAGGGGCAGAGGAAGGAGAGAATCTTGAGCAGATGCCAGGCCAAGCACAGAGCCCGACCTGGGGCTCAATCTCATGACCCTGAGATTAGGACCTGAACCAAAACCAACGATTGGACACTTACCCGACTGTCCCCCACAGGGCACCTTCGTTTGCTTTCATTTGCTTGTCTGTCCGCGTTCTCCTCTCAGCTGTTGGGGGGTTGGTAGCAGAGATCAGCTTGTGTCCCTGGCCTCTCCTTGCCCCCTGGGGCCCTCCGAGCCCTCGCCTCTTCTGTCCGTGGTTGGGGTCATCTGTGCGTCTCCAGGCCTCCTGCAGCTGCGTGGCCCAGGGCAATCCTGACAGGCTCCAGGCCTCGAGTCCCTGAATCCAACCAGGGGCTCCCTGCTGACAAAAGCTGACTCTTCCTCCTTCCTCAGTGCAAATGAAAGGCTTCTTATTCTCTTGCTCTAGGCCTGGAATCCGGGCTGGGTCTGGAAACAGCAAATTGCTCAGATCTGGAAGGCAGCTCTGCGCTCAGGTGCCTGTTCTCACTGCCCTTACTACCCGCCTAGCTTCCCTTGGGTCCCTGGGTCTGCTTCTCACGCCCTCCAGCACCTTGGAAGGAAATCGGATTCAGCTCTGGGGACTCACCATGCATCATCCTAGGACAATTTCCTGCCTCTTCTCTCTTGCATCTCTGTAGGTGTGGACACAGCACTTGGGTCCAGTGCAGGCCTGTTGGGTGTCCGGAGGCCCCGCCCCACCAAGCCCTCACTGACATTTCCCTGGAGGCAGTCTGACTCCTTGTTTGAAACCTGACCCGCTTGCCAGAATGCTCCTAGATTAGGCCACGCTGTGTTTCCGTGCCTGTGGGACCTGTGAAACGGGTTACGCTCTATAACGGGACTCCTGGGAAATAAAACCAGGCTTGTTTGTGTTGTCTCCATGGGCTTGTTCAGTGCTGTGCCCGCGGCACAGTCCTCAGGGAGCAATTGGATATTGAGAAGGGCTGAGATGTCCTAGGGACGTTCAAACCTTTTTAATCATGTGCTAATCTAATTGGAAGCTCGTAATAGTTTGTACTGCAATGACAGGGACTGTGGGTCTGGAAAACCTCCACCTCGTAGGAAAAGCTCTCCTCTCCAAACGTGACGCCCCTGACCCCTTAAGTCATATTAAAACACGATGTGCGTCACGAGACAGGTAGAGCAGACATCTCTGCTTGCAAATGTTCCCTCCTAGTTATTTGCAAAGGGCTGATTGCTGTCACTCCAGAATTTCAAACGTATAGGTGTAGGTTACTGTGCTTGGGAACGTGGCACAGATCCACCTAGGGAGGGAGAAACCATGTGCTCTGGAGGCTGACCACGGTTTCAACACTGTGAGGGCGTATGAGGAGCGTAACCGTAACTGGAGAGGCCGTTAGAGGAAGGATAATCTCATTCCACAAGGCTCTGTAATGCAGAACACAGACCACTTGAACCTTCTGTGTCTGCACAGATTCCCAGCTCAGCAAGAGCTCCAGTCCTGGTCAAATGCCCTGTTTTTCTGGGTGAATCTTCTTCCTCCCCTTCCAGCTGAAACTCTGGAAGAATTTTGGATCAGATTCTTGTTTTTTTTTTTTTTTTTTAATGGACTGGCTCATGTTAGCAACAAAAATAATGAGGTGATTTTAATCAGTGCATTCTACTTGGCTGGGAACAACACTTGGTTCTAAATCCCAAAATAGAAATGAAGCAAAGGACAGCTCTGCCGTGCCTGTCCCTAGCGCCTGGTAGCGCACCCAAGGGGCGACCCTCCCACGACGGCCCCCAGTGAACGGGGTGACCTGGGGTTCATCCAGCGCTAACAGAGTTTGTCGCTCTTGTAGGCGATGTTCAGATCCCAGGGCCTCCCACCAACGTGCACGCCTCAGAAATCAGCAGAACATATGTCGTCCTCAGCTGGGACCCACCTGCTCCCCGCGGCAAGGAGCCGCTGATGTATTTCATCGAAAAGGTATTCTGCGGTCGTGTGTCCTGACACAGCAGCTCTCTAGGATATCACACTGTGCTACTCCATGGGTTTTAGAGATGAGCAACGGTGAGGGTGGGTCACTTCACGTCCCCGGCTCTGGCGCCCCTACCAGAACGGGGCTTGCTAGGTTCTTTCCTGCGGACACGTTCTATCTGGCAGATTTTGAGGACCGCGTGAGCCCTGGCGAGCAGGGCAGATGGCTGTAATAAGCCATGTGGCCACGTGGTGGCGGTGTTGTACAGGGATTCGCTCCGGAGGCTGCGGCCATGGAATGGGTGGTTTGAGGACTAGCGGGGACCCCCGGAAAGAAGCACACGCGCGCGTGCACACACGCACAGGCACGCGCGCGTGCACACGCACAGGCAGCGAGAGCGCAGTGACGTGCGCATGCACGCTCGGGCTCTGCGCTTCAGTCCATCCTGTTGCTCCAGCCCGGACCCGGTCCCCGCCTGCAGAACCCCGGGGCTCCTTCGGCTCGGCCACCGGCTGCCCGCCGTGGGGAGTCACGGACCACGCGTGAGGCTGGAGGAGGGGAAGCGGCGGGCGCGGCCCCCGGGGAGCCTCGGTGCTCGGCGGTTCCAGCAGGCAGCGAGCCCCGTGAGAGCCCGGGCGAGCCCGGCGCTGAGCCACGCCGAGCGGGGCTGCCGGTGCGGGGCTGCCGGTGCGGGGCTGCCGGTGCGGGGCTGCCGGTGCGGGGCTGCCGGTGCGGGGCTGCCGGTGCGGGCCGGTTCGGCCGCGTCTCGCGGTGTCACAGTCCGCTCCCGGCTCGGTGCATCCGCAGCCCGTCCGGGGTGCTCTTTGGGTGCCTTAGCTCCTCCCAGGGCCCAGAAGGAGCGCCGGGATGTGCTTTCCTCCATCTCCACTTCCCGCGAGGCCAGGGCTGAGCGGGTGGGCCCTGCCGCGCAGCGTCGAGGCCCTGCAAGTGCCTGGCGCATCCCTGAGCAGGTGGTCCGCACCGCAGCCCCCGCTGTGAGTCCCGCCCCGTAAGGCCCCGTGCAGGGTCGCTGGACGTTCTGCGCCCGCGGTGGGCTCCCCGACGCCTCCCGGCCTGCTGTCTCCCGGCCGAGGCCCGGGGGTCATCGCCGGGAGAGTTCTGCTTGAGGCCGGGTCGGCGGTGCCTCACACGTGCTCCTGTGGTTAGAGGTGTCCCCGCGTGGGTCCCTGCCAGCCCCCGGACCTGCGCCCCGTCCTCCCACCTGCGGTTCTCATGAGCAGCTCCTGACTTCGCGGGGGCCCCCGCGCCTCGCTCGGGCTTCTAGAAGCCTGACAGGAAGCCCCTGATAGTCCCCCGCTCCCTCCCTCTGCCACCCTCTGGCGTGAGGCGCCCTTCCCGGGTGGACGCAGCGACGTGTCCCCCCGACGGAGAGCACGGGGCGTCCTGGGTCAGCCAAAGGAGCCTGACTCCGCTTCTGCTGCAACAGCAGAAATCTTCAGGTGTGGCCCTGACTTATGGAAGCCGGGGTCGTTTGGGGCGACTTCCCAGTCCTGGCCACCGTCCCCTGGGCCCACGTGCACCTGCTCTCACTACTCAGGATCCCCTCACAGAGGGGTTAGGTCCCCACCGGGAAGAGGGAAGCGTAACATGGGACGGAGGCTTTTCGAGTAATTATCAGTGATGCAACACCAGATGACGAAAATTAACCCTGCAGCCAAGGTGCAGAGACGTTTGGGGAATAAAACGAGAATCACTGATGCTTCCGTCCTTTGAAGTAGTCATTACACATTTTTTTCCGGACGCTCAAAATCGACTTTTTTCCTCGCGCGGCTACTGCAACTTGTTTGCACACACAGGACTTTTGTAAGATTTAAGTCCAGTTAGTTAACATGGAATGTATTATTGGTTTCAGAGGTGCAGGTCTGTGGGTCCCCGGTCGCGGGTAACACGGCTTGCTCAGTCCGAGCCCTCCCCACTGTCCATCATTCAGTGAGCCCACCCCACCACACCCCTCCTCTTCACAATCCGGGATAAACATACTTGTGGTCTTTTTCTCTATAGTCTTTTATATACTTGATGTGTCATAGGTAAAGTTTGTCTCCTGGGTGACATTTAGCTAAATGGTGTAATTGCCCTCATCTGGTGGGACCTTTTCCAGCTAACGCCAGCGACTGCGTCTTCAAACACAGGAAGGAATCATGATGTGTCCCATGCTAGTACAGCCCGTTATACAGATTGCTGTTATCTTAATACTACAGTGATAGCTGCAAAACAGTGAACATTCTATTCTGTGTATTTATTAGTATTTCAAAACATTTATTTACTTCAGTGGGAGGAGCGCTGGGGGAGGGCGGAGGGAGAGGAAGAATCTCGCGTCCCCACACTGAGCACGAAGCCTGACACAAGGCTCGGTCCCACGACCCCGAGATCATGACCTGAGCTGAAATTGAGGGTCAGAGGCTTAACTGACAGGGCCACCCAGGTGCCCCTAAAATAGTGAAAATTTTAAATTGAAATGAGACCAGCTGAGTGTGATGGGATTTTATAAATACCCCAAATTATCCTTAATCCCTTATAGTTCATTCTACTTTACTAAAACTGCAACCTGTGTATAAATTCCCCTACTTTTTTTAGTTTATTTGTTGTCACGTAAAAATTTTACTGGTAAGTGTTTCCAGCTTTGGGTAATTTTTCATCCGCTTTTCCAAACTGGTTTCCTTTTTCATAAAATTCAGAAAAGAGTTATTGATGGCCAGGGATGGGCTTCACTGCCCGGACATCCCTGGAGATTAATTTGGCCAGCTAGAGTAGAACATGCCTTCAGCACGCCTTTGGGGAGGTCTAGCTTTCTCATGTAAATCCTATGTCCCTTTGCAGTCCGTGGTTGGGAGTGGGACCTGGCAGCGGGTCAACGCGCAGACGGCCGTGAGGTCCCCTCGGTACGCCGTGTTTGACCTCGCTGATGGGAAGCAGTATGTGTTCCGGGTTTTGTCAGCCAATAAGCATGGCCTGAGCGACCCGTCGGAGATCACCGTGCCCATCCAGGCTCAGGATATGATTGGTGAGTACGGCCATGCTGGTAAGCGGCCACGACTTGGGACAGGCCCTGAGTAAGGGACACCAGATGCCCTTCTCTTGTGTTGAAAAAGACAGCTAATGTTGCCTATGAGCCAAAATGCCTCGAAGTCTCAGTTGACAAAGGATGGATGTCTCTCTGCCATGGTGATGGCTACTCAGCATTTCTCCAAAGTTCCATCTTATTTTTATGGAACTAACAAACGGGTTAGAAATATTTTTAGGCATTGGTCGCTTTTTGGAAAACCTCGAACTCACTGGAGTTTCTTGTCCATGTGGCTTGAATTTCCCGCCATGGAGATGCTGTAGGGAATTGCAGAAATTCAGAATCGCCCTGTGGAGAATATCGAGGGTCAGATCATGACTGGGTTTTAAATCCCCTTACAGATTCCGGCCAATCTGATAGAAGTATGTCTTATTTTCTTAAAGTTGTTACTATCCTGTTAGCTAAAGCATGTGTGTCACGAGAAGGTGCTATTTAATGGCTCTGGGGGGCGGGTACAGGAGACCGAGTGATTGTCCTTCCTTTCCTTGTGAGTCAGGTGGGACTTGGGAAGGCACAGAGGACAGTCCAGCAACTCCAGGGTGCCCTGGGTGGCAGTCCCCTGCCCACTTCTGCTGCTCGTCCCTCCTTGTCTGATTTTGGGGAGCCCTTCCTTGTGGACAAAGGGCTTGAGGCTGTTGGGTACAGCTTCTGGAACTGAGACACTGTTCATGGTTCCTCACTCTACCTCCTCTGTACAGCGGTCCCTTCTGCCCCGGGCCGGGTTCTGGCATCGCGGAACACGAAGACATCGGTTGTGGTGCAGTGGGACAGGCCGAAGCACGAGGAGGACCTGCTGGGCTATTACGTGGACTGCTGTGTGGCAGGGTCCAATGTGTGGGAGCCGTGCAACCACAAGCCCATTGGCTACAACAGGTGCGGGGGGCCCCAGACCCACTGTATGGGAAGGACCCATGACAGTCGGGAGTCACGCGGCCCTCAGAGTAGCGTGAACCCCGGCAGACACGACCGTGAGGCTCCTCCATGGGTGTCTGTTTTCTTTTCTGCTCGTGAGGGGCCAGGACTTGAAAGCCGATGAGTGGGTTGAGAGCACGGGGCTGGAATGGTTAGCATGTTCATGAGAGAACTCTAGAACCTTGGTCCTTCTGGAGTTATTATCAGTTAAGGCTTACCTTCCAACAGGAAAGTTAAAACAGCAGCCAGGACTCACGAGGTGTTTTATTTTTCCATATTGAGTTTTCGAACTCTTTAAAAAGGCTTTGCATGAATGATAGTCCTCTGCTCCAGCCACTGACGGAGACAAAGTGGGGGACCGTCCCCTCTCTTATGCAGGGCGGGGGTGGGGAAGTCAGCTCGTGCTGGGCGGAGAGGAGCATCCTTGCCCCCAGCATCCGTTTACCCCCCGCTCCTGCCGGATGTGCAGGACGTCTGACTTTATAGGTGCTCTCCAGGGTATGCTTCTCAGGTACGTAGAGGCGGCAGCCAGATTCTCCACCGGGGATGGGTTATTGCTGACGGCTCAGCCATCTGTCCCTTTTTAATTTACTTAAAAACAAACAAACAAACGAAACTTGGGAAAAGCCATGGCTAGGAAGGGAGAGATGTCCCTGAGAACAGTATGGTTAGATGTTTCAAATCCATGGGCAGCAGAGTCAGAATGAGATCTCAGGACAAAAACCTAAAAACAGCATTCTCAAGATGGAGTTTTGTAAATGGTCACTAAAGGTCTGCAGGCTCTAAGAGGGGAGCAGACTTTTTCACGCAGACGGGGTGCTGGCCTCTGCTGAGCTCCTCCTATGCGGGTTCCCACTTGATGCTTATAGTGATGCTGGGAGGTGGGGACCATGGTCCCATTCTGCAGCTGGGACAGCTGTCTCACAGAGACAGTGACCTCTAGAGAGGATCTGTGGGTGTTGCTTTCTGCACCCTCAGACCTGTGCCGCTCCTGCCCCTGGTGTAACCAGGCATCATGGCCTTCCTTGCTGACCCTGTGTGTTGATTTGCATCCATTAACTAGAATTGAAATGGAAAGTGGATATATAGCATACATATATAAAGAACTCAAACTACTCAAGTTCCTTCTAGTCCCAGTGAAAAAAATTTTGGAGTACTCCCATGATTTTTACTCTGCTGGAGGAGAAAGGGCAAGGCTGAGGCGCATGGTCATGCCCGTGACTGGTGTTTTGCTCAGGTTTGTGGTGCATGGCCTGACAACCGGTGAGCAGTACATATTCCGGGTGAAGGCCGTCAATGCTGTCGGCACAAGCGAGAACTCGCAGGAGTCCGACGTCATCAAGGTCCAGGCCCCCCTCAGTGAGTAACCGAGGGCCTTTGTAAGCTCTACGGGAATAAATGCTCGCGGTGGCGATAACATGCTGTCCTGGGCGGGCTCTCATCCGCCAGCCGCATGTCTTGGAAACATGGGGCCGAGGGAGGAGAGATGAAATGTCAGCAGGGCACACACTGAGGACACACGGCTTCATGGCAGGTCACATGTCCCTGCACGTGTGTGCCCACCTTGACATGCGTGGTGTTGGGATGAACATCTCTTTCAAAGTTGCTGGTAACCTAGAAAAACATCATTGGCCTTTCCAGCTGGTCTTAGTTCAAGGGGCTTTTGTCATCCCGGAGAATTCCAAATGTCGATGTGAACTCTGTGGTTTGTTCATAAACGGTTATTGTTTGAAATGATTTTGGTCAAATAAAACAATTTGGGACCTAATTTCAGAGGTGGGCCCTGGGGCCACGAGTGTTGTGATTGTCACCCTGGTGATTTCATACAAAATGGGCTACATACATGACAAACACATGCCCTGGGACATTTGGGGCACGAATGTCACATGCTACTTATTTTGAGTCATACTGATAGCCTTTCATTCCTGAGAGAAATGTTTTGCTCTTTATTTACTTTTGTGTCTAATTAAATTATTATCACATTTTCAGAAGTTCAACTTTCTCTCCTAACAACACATAAAGTCATGTTAGGGAAAACCAAACAGTGCCCAACCTGATACTACTTAGGTGGTCAGGATAGCACAAAATCGTTCTTTTGTTTGAAGGTCATTATTCCGATCTGTCTGTTTTACCCAGGAGGGACTTCCAAACATTACCATTCCTACTTACAACAAAGCAGTTGTCTACAGTTTTATTCTGTGATGGGAACAGGTCTTTCCCCGGTCACCTGTTTCTTGGGTAACAGAGAATGACCAGACGCAGATCACCTGGAGCTGGGCCCAGAGCTCGGGGAACAGAGGCACACCGTCCCTCAGGCCCTTGGAGAAGACGGTCCATTTCCAAACGAACTCATGTGAATTCATACTCACTTGAACTGATCTGATGTGGGAAATTAAGACCGGCTGGGCAGTAATGTGCAGCATCTCTGGTCATGGGGCACGGCTGTAATTCTTCATGGATGTCACAAGAAAGCTCCTCCTGGAGGTTTTCCCTAGAGGAAGGGGAAAATCTGTTGTTTCAACCACCCAGGCCAGATTTGAATAATGGATCGCTCTTGTGTTGTTGAAATATTGGAAGGTGTGTGTGTGTGTGTGTGTGTGTGTGTGTGTGTGGTTTCCTGGGGGAGGTGTTTAGGAAGCAGTAAATAGAGAGGACTGAGAGTCACTGTCTTTAAAGGAAGAGATGAAAACATGCAGGCATGGCTGAGGTTTGGGGGCCCCTCTGCAGAGCAAGAGCGGCCCCGGGCAGGATGGGGCGGAGACTGGGGTGACCTTCCTGCTGTGTGTCCTTGCAGCTGTCCCTTCGCATCCTTACGGGGTCACGCTTCTGAACTGCGATGGCCACTCCATGACCCTTGGCTGGAAGGTGCCCAAATTCAGCGGGGGCGCCCCCATCCTCGGCTACTACATAGACAAGCGCGAGGCGCGCCATAAGGACTGGCACGAGGTCAATTCTTCGCCCATCAAAGAGAGGATCTTAACGGTTGGTTCTTATGGGCCCCTGGTTTTTGCTGGGTGGTTTCCCATTCTGGGCAGAGCCCTTCCATCGTGACCCAGAGTTCAAGGGCGTCAGACAATGGGACACGACACACAGGCGGGTTCAGAAAACGTCACAGCCTCGTGGGAAAAGCTCTAGAACTGGACCCGAGGAAGCATTTTCTTTTGAGACGCAGGAGAGGTAGAGAGGCAAGGAAGCGGGTGGTGTGGGGGGTCGTGTCCCTGCTGGGAGCAGCCCCAGGCCCCCAGCCCGTCACTGCGTGGCTGTACAGGGCTGCTGCGTCCGTGCTTAGCCGGTGTTCCGTCTGAACACCCTTGCCCGTGGCTTGTTCTTCACGGTTCTGCTCAGAGAGACTTGTGTGTGTGGCCTCTGAGCAAGCCGCTTGCCCAAACACACGTTCTGCCCGGGCAGAGAGAGGAGAAGGAACATCGACTTAGAGTAGGAATATCTGGGATCCAGTCCAGGGGCAAACCCTCCCCAGCCACGGGCTTTCTCTCCGCCTCCCTGAGCCTTCCGCTGCTCCTTTGTGTGGTTTAGGTCACAGGCATGTGTGCGTGCGTGTGTGTATGTGTGTGCAGGTTGGTGCATGTGCACGCACACGTGTGGGAGTCTGTACGTGTGTATGCGTGCGCCTGTCTGTGCATGTGTGAGAGATTCTGTGTGCATGCGTGTGTGCATGCGCACGCACATACACGCGCGAGTCTGTGTACATGCATGTGCGCACGTGTGTGGGAGCCCGTATGCACGCATGCGTGTGTGACTGTGCATGCACGTGTTGGTGCGTGTGCGGCATTACCGATATCTATGCACGGTCAGCCCCACCGCTGTGCCGAGCTGTTCTGGACAAGGGCCCTGACTCCCGAGAGAATCACCCTCTTGTTTTCAGAACGCCGGCTGCTGCCGCAATGTGAGCTCCGTCCTGCAAGGAATGGGACTCTTGACTTCAAACACTTGCTTTCGAGGCTCTATTTTTCCAGGAGGCGATGTCACCTGGATGCAGTGGGGCAGGGCTAAAGGCTCTGGTCAAGGCCTTCCCTGTACTTTTGGGGCACAGACCCTCATGTGGCCTCAGGCGCGACCTGAAGGCCGCCTGTCCGTGTGCTGGGGGTTGGTGATGGGTTGTAGGGCATCATGCAGCTAGGCTAGTCTGGCTTCGGGGTCTAGCTGGGGATTCTGCAGAAGGGATATGGGCTTAAGGGCAGGCCCCCACGCCTGCTATTCCACACACTCTCTGTGGCTTTCCTCTCCATGAGCCTCAGATGGGCTCTCGAGGGGGTCATTGTGCCATCCTCGTAGGCACAGTGACGGGAGGAATGAAACAATGTGGTCAGGTTCCCTAAGCGACCACAGCATGGCGGCTGCATTCACAGCCCTCTGGGACCACACCGTCCAGTTTACTGGCCCAGCCCCCACCCTCACAGGTCATTCTAGGAGTCGGTCGTGACTCCTCCAACCAGCAGACGGTGACGTGGTTTTTTACTTCCTGTGTTAATTTAAATGCATCTCCACAGGTGGAGGGCTTGACAGAAGGCTCACTCTATGAGTTCAAAATCACTGCCGTCAACCTGGCCGGGATCGGGCAACCATCGGACCCCAGCGAGCTTTTCAAGTGTGAGGCCTGGACCATGCCCGAGCCTGGTGAGAGGCCCCTCCTGGACCATGGAGCTGCCCTCTGTGTCATGAGGTCACGAGCCCCAGAACTAGTGGGCATTCTGTCTGTGCGTGCTAGGGCGTCCCGCCCTGTGCCAGGCACGGGGCGCAGCTGCCGATGAGGTGGCCCTGTCCCCTGGCAGAGGCTGAGCGGTGACGAGCGTGGGGTGGTCAGTGGGGTTGCGTGAGGGGACAGGGAAGGCGGCCCCAGGCAGGAGGGCCTGGTGCTGGCCATGAGACGACACAGAGTGTGACTGCGGTTCCAGTGTGAGAGGTCCGGTTCTCCCAGACCCTGAGGGGACCTGGGGGCCTCTAGTTCAAAAACGTAGGATAGTTGCTAATCTGCTTGCATTAGGACTTTACGTTTTAAGTCTGTTTTCATCAATTCTCAGAACCTGGGTCTTCACTGGTTGCCTTCTGTCTGTCAGGAACCTAAACGGGATGGGTAAAATGCTCCTGTTTTGAGCAAAACTGAAGTTGAAGCTATTTTGTGCGCAGAGTATAGTGTCTTTTCCCTCCTTTCCTTTTGAGTGGTCCTTGTTTAACAGAACGAATTTTGGCCCCTTAGAACAGCCAGTGGAAGGAGAGCTCTCCCGACTCCCGGAGACTTTCTGGGGCTCCCCACAAAGGGCTTAGCAACCCCTGAAGATTTGGGTGACGTAGTTCAGGCACAGCCCCTGCGCATTTTCCCTTTGCTGCCTGAGGCCACTGGACCCAGGGAGTCCGCGCTGCCCCCTATGGAAGTCTCCAGGGTCTGAGCAGGTGATGTGTTTGGGGCTCGAGGAGCAGGCATGTGTCAGGCGGGGGTGCGGGTGACACGCGTGTCCCTGGTCCGTGCACCTGCTCTCTCTGTGAGCCGCACCTACTGGTCCTGAGTGCTGACAGGGACTCACGAGTGACTCCACGGTGCCCACGGTCCCCAGACGCCGGCCCGACTGTCCCCCCTCCATGCTCCATACGTTCTCCGGGACGTGCGTGAGAAGTCTGATGTGATGCGTAGAGTCGTGAGGTCTGGGAGCCGATGAAGTCGTGTGTCCCGCGGCAGCAGACACCCGGGGTTGGTGCGTGCACACACGGCCGACTACGTCTGCCTTTTCAGGTCCTGCCTATGATCTGACATTCTGTGAAGTCCGAGACACGTCCCTGGTCCTGCTGTGGAAGCCCCCCGTGTACTCCGGCAGTGGCCCCATCACGGGCTATTTCGTGGACTATAAGGAAGAGGACTCTGGGGAGTGGGGCACCGTGAACGAGGCAGCAACCGCCAACCGTTATCTGAAGGTGACGCTCTTCCCTCCCATGTCCCCCACCCTCCTGGGATGGGGTCTCTGGTCCCTCCTGCAGATGGGCTTAACGCCGCCAGGCCAGCCGCTCAAGCAGCTCAAACCGTCCCGTGTGGCACTGTGGACGGTCCCCGCGGGGGCGATGGCCGCTGTGTGTCCGCAGTCAGGCCTGTGTTGTACCCGTGTCCTTCGTGACTGCTCGTAGAAGTTGCGCGCGTAGACGCACGTGCACGCGCAGCTGTAAGATGCCTGAGAGGAGGGCGTATGCACGTTCCTCTCTCCTGTCCTCCCAGTGGTTCTGTTCTTAGCATCGACAGCTGACCCCTCCCTGGGGCAGTTGTGACTCCCGTCCTCAGGTGGGTCAGACACCCGTCCTGGCTCTTTGTCCCCGCTGCCCTCCTGCAGAGGATTTGCCTGCTTGCTTGTGGGCTCTGTGGTGTGGTGTAGACGGCGGCAGCTGACCAGAAGCCCACACCTGAGTCGTGCGCACGGCTGCATCCTGTGGGCAGCCGTCCAACCCCGCGAGACCAGATCAGCTTCTGATCCACACCAAGTGAACTAATCAGCTCCCAGAGATCTGGTCCAATGAGTGACTGAGAAAATAGCTGGTGTGTATTTTACGTATCAGCAGAGATCATGGTTCACAGAAGCTACACACGTGCAAGGAGAGAATGACTTAATTTTGATGTGTCCAAACGATGGGAACTCTGGCCCGGTTACAATCACATTTAAAGTAATGCTTCTTCCCATAGCATTATGTTGACTAGGAATGCTCGGCTGCCAGCGGGATATGTGATTTTAATTCTGCTTTGAAATAGGCGAAGGAGAAAGGAAGCCTCTCTCAGCACGGAAGAGAGTCTGTTTCTTCTTGCTAAGTCGGACTGTGAATGAGTGTGAGTCTGTCTCACCTCCCGTCTGTCTCACCTTCCGCTTTTCCAGCTCACTGTGCAAAGCTCTTCCTTCTTTCAGAAAAGGGGCATGTGCATGGTAAAATGTGAAGAATGAAAAGTCCTTTTCACTTATCGATTAGCACATGACACGGTCTCTGTCTTTTTCAGGTCTGTGACCTGCACCAGGGCAAGACCTATGTCTTCAGGGTCCGGGCCGTGAACGCCAGAGGGGTGGGGAGGCCATCGGACGTGTCTGAGCCGGTGCTCCTGGAGACCCGACCAGGTGAGACGTGACCGTGTGGCTGCGGAGGACGGCGGGAGGCTGAGGGCCTCCAGGCGGGGGCGATGGGTGCGCATGTCTGTGTGCGTGATGCAGGGAGGCTGGCTCCTGCCGTCTTGTCCATGGTGTTGAGCAGCGGACAGGACAGGCTGTCCTCCGGCCCTGCATGGCCCCGGCACCCCGAGTCACACTGCGGCCCCAAAGGCCATGTGCACAGTCGGTGGGGTCCGCATTTGGAGCAGTAAGACTGCATGCGGAGATGATGATGGTCTCTCCCGTTATTGCTGAATTTTGACGGGGAGTCAGAAGAAAGCTGTTGGTCGGGAACTTGGGGGCAAGTGGCGAAGGCCCACGGAAGAGACGTCAGCAGAAAGTGCTTCCGAGGGTGACGGCAGCTCAAAGGGTACGAAGGGAAGGAGTGGTGGGTCCGCAAACCCTGAGACCGTGTTGTCTCCCTCATTGCTCCTCTCTCTGGGGACTGACCTCACATCCTCTGCCACTGGAGCTCTGTACTTCTGCCTTCACCGTAACTGATGGCGTCTGTGCCTGCCCAGGCCGATGGGTCCTCCCCAGTCTCTGCTTCCTCAGGGACAGATTCTGACGGGTCTGTGTGGGGCCGGCCTCCACCTGGTCAGAAGGGACAAGCAGGTTCCCTCCCCTCCCCCCATGGAAGGAGGGCAGAGGGACGAGGCCACATGCCGTGATATCGGGGATGCCCGGGGCCCTCCCAGTGGCCAGGGGTCAGATTTCGGGGAGAAGGAGGGTCTTTATGGCTGACATGTCCTCTACATGGGACGGGACTGGATGTGGAGATGGGAACAGATGGAGACGTGACGACTTAAAACCCTGTCCACTCCAGCCGCCACCTGCTCCGGGAGCATCTGCCCTCCCATGGGTCCCACTCAGCGCCCCAGGGGACCGTGCAGGGGAAGCCGATGACTCGGTGGGGACCAGGATGTCGTGCTTGCGACATGGCGCTCCCTGCCCTCTCCCGCAGGCACGAAGGAGATCAGTGCCGGCGTGGACGAGGAAGGCAACATCTACCTGAGCTTCGACTGCCCAGAAATGACGGACGCGTCCCAGTTCACGTGGTGCAAAGCCTATGAGGAGCTCGTGGACGACCAGAAATTCCGGGTGGAGACAGTGGGAGACCAGTAAGTCTTCTCACGGCCAGCCTGGGGGCCGCCGGGGATGCCGACAGACACGTAACGTGCCCCACGGTTCTTCCTTCTAGCTCGAAGCTGTACTTTAAAAACCCGGACAAAGGGGACCTGGGCACCTACTCGGTGTCCGTGAGTGACACGGACGGAGTGTCCTCCAGTTTCGCCCTGGATGAGGAAGGTAACGTCAGGGGTTTGGTGACGGAGCACGCCAGCTCGGGGCCCGGCAGGGGACACTGACGCTAACGTGGAGAAGACATGCTTAGGAGACGGGCGCCTGTTCGTGGGGGGCCGGGGCGCGGGGCGATCGCAGAGACGAGCGCTCCCTCACCAGTGTAATGAGTGCTCCGCCGTTCATGCCCTGTCTGCACCCAAGTCACCGGACCGGGGACCAGGGCTTCTAGAGCGCCCCCGTAGAGCCCACGGTGGGTTTCCGCTGCATTTCAGTAGCTTGGCAAGCGGAAGGGAGCGGATGGGCAAGTACGGCCACGAGATTAGCGTGAGACCACGGATGGGGGCTGCCCCTTCCCTTCTAGCATGGAAGAATCAGGATGGTAGGAGAAAAAAATATATGTTTTCTGTGCGTGAAATAAGATTCAGCCGGCAGAGTCAAAATCTCTTGCTCTCTTGCAAACAGGAGACGGCAGAAAGAAGAGCCAGGTCACAGCCGGGGGCCCAGGGACAGGCAGGTCTGTCCGGGGCGGACTCACGCACCTGCATCCCTGGCCAGTGAGCGGGGCTCACGAGGCAGACGCTGTGCTGCTGGGGATTGTAGTTTTTTGTGTCCAGTGCTTGTGATGGACCCTGCCCACAGTCAGGGTCAGCCTCACGGTGAGGCAGAGGGAGCCCCGTCGTGTGGGACAGCTCGGTCAGATGTCAAGCGTTCTCCGGGTCTCTAGAGCTGTCTAGGGGCCGAGAGTCCCCTGTTAAAATACAGGGTCTTCTGGGAAGCCTGGCGCCTGGTGGGCTGACCCCAAAGTTCCCCGCTGGTGTGTTGGGTGGGGCAGGTGAGAGTGTGATCCTGAGGATACCTGACTCGGAGGGTCACTCGGTGTGGGCAGGGACGAGAGGCGGGGACGAACGCCAGGAGGCCCCGTGCTGATGCCTCAGGCCGCTGCAGGGCAGGAGCTGACGCTGGGTAGACGGGGAAACTCATGCAGATTCAACGAGACCCCACAGGAGAGCGGCCGGGGGGTCTGTGTGGACGCTGCTGCCCAGGGTCCTCAGGATGCTCGTGTCCAGAGACAGGCGGGAGCAGGTCCAGAATCTGCTCTGAATGCCTTGTAAGCTGCCATTTCTGACCCTAACTCAGTGGTTTAACTCAAAACATCCTTAAATAATCCTGAAAAGTGTTCTGTTTCTCTGTACCAGTTTTAAGTTTGTAGGTGACATTTTTACTCTAATTTTATATAGTTGCAAAGGATGAAAACTCCCAGCATGTTTTAAAACGTATGTGAACTTTAAAAACTCTTTTAGATAAAACCTGGGAGCTGCCGATTTTGTTCATTTGACTTATGGAAATTCCCATTAGACCTAACGGGGAAGTCAAGCCAATCTACCCAGTCAGGAAAAGTCTGACCTCATTTTTGGGTCCAAGTAAGCGTGTTCACACACACCTTCGTGACTGCCGTCTCTTTTCTAAGTTCTAATTAAGAAGGAAGGAAGGAAGGAGGGAGGAAATGCCTCAAGGAGGAAGGAAGGAAGGAGGGAGGAAATGGCTCAGAACCTTCCGTGTTTCTTGGCTTGCTTGTGGGCCTCTTTCCGGAGTGATGCATTTATTTTTATCGTTTTATTTTTAACTAGTGGCAGTAACGCAGCACAGTGAAATCCTGGGTGGGCAAAGCATTTTGAGGGACATCTTGCAAAGGGAAGGAAAATCACAGACCCCCTGTACACTCTCAGCGCCTGATCGATATTAGGAAGGAGTTCATGTGGAATTTGAGGGTCTGGAAATGATAGCCTGCAAAGCCTGCCCCTGCCCCCAGCCCCACTGTCCCCAAGGCTCTGCCTCACGTGCCCACCACCCCTCCCCTTCACGCAGGGTTATTACACGGCGAGGGTCTCAGGAGAGAGCGTTCGAAGGTGGTTTAAATCCTGTTTGCCTTTTCACTCCTCCTTAGCATTTCTTACGCAATTAAATCTTGGTGGTACCAGATCTCCACTCGGGGTTAGACTTGTGATTGTTTACGAACTTCTGCATGTCTGGGTCGAAAACCAATGCACGTATCTTTCTCAATTTCAGAGCTCGAACGTTTAATCGCACTGAGCAACGAAATCAAGAACCCCAGTAAGTAAGCGTGGGACCCTGCCTGCTTGCAGGCCGACAGCGAGCCGGGAGGCCCTGTTCGTTGCGGCGCAGGGCTCACGGGGAGCGCGTAGGCGAACCGACCGTTGCCTTTCACGCGAGCAGCTTCCACGCTTGTCACCTGCTCGTTGGAAGCAAACACAAGTTGATAATGCAATTCGCAGAAATTTTATTGCATAGAGAGAGTTTTGAATTTGGGGTTTCGCGTAGCTGATCCTAATCCCAGCAAGTCGTCAGGTGGGGTCTTCGGTTATGGAGTTGCACGCAGGCGAGTGTGTGCCGCGGTCCGCGGGGAGAGCCGGGAGTGTGAGCACACGGCCCACGAGGCACGGGGCTTTACCTGCACCAGCAGGCTAACCTGAGGTGTGTTTTTGTTTTCTGGTTTTCATGATCCAATTCAACACTCTGGGGTTTCACATCCTCAAAAACCTCAGTAACCGGCTTGATGTTTTCCTCCAACATGCAGCCCTTCTCCGACAACGACTCGTGCATTATTGACTTCCGATTTCTCTTCTTCCCATAGCAATTCCTCTGAAATCAGAATTAGCTTATGAGATTTTTGATAAGGGCCAGGTTCGCTTCTGGCTGCAGGCCGAGCACTTGTCACCGGACGCCAGCTACCGGTTTATTATTAACGACCGAGAAGTCTCTGACAGTGAGGTGAGCTCACGCGCGCGTGACCCCCAGGTTCGGAGAGGCGGGGGAGGACCTTGGGAGGTCAGTGACTTCGGGTCAGGTCCTGGGTGTGTTTTCATCCCCCTTTGAGCTGCAGAAATTGGGGCATAGCTGGTTGGCGAGATGAACGTGTGATGGCTGAGTCCTGCCATGTTCAGAGACCGGTCTGGGTTAGACGAGAGATCAGAGTCCCTGAAATCTGGGCCCACCAGAACCAAACAACGGTCACTTTGTTTTAGAGACGCTGAGCCTGGTGCTATGAAAAGTTTCAGGTGACGTGGGGGCCACGGGATATCCTTAACGGACGGGCCTGCTCATTCTTGACCCTGGTTTCGAAGTTGGGCATTCTTACCCTATTGTCTGCGGGCCCTGCTCACCGAGCACGTCCCACGGAAGGCATCCACGGGGAGATCTGCTTCTATACCTTCCCTAAACTTTTAGGCTGCTCTCTTTTGTGGCCCATCTGGGCAGAGCGCGGCAGGACTGCCCACAATGTCTAGAATGCTACGATACAAACACTCTTGCCCTGGGTCTGCTTTTCGTTGTGTGCGATGAGTCCTACCATTATTGTAAATATTCCTTTTCTGGCCGTGGAATACCAAGTATGCTTCCGTGTACTTCTTGTCCACGAATTCCGGCACAGCTGCTGGCATTTGCAGCTGAGGGAAAACCTGCTCAGTGGGCCCTTCCTTTCGTGTTGACTGGAGAGTGAGGGGCCTTGACCTCCTCTGCTCGTTGCCCCCAGGATTCAGTGTATGGTGTCGTCAGCCTGCTCAGCGTCCTGCTGGCTCTGGATGCCTTGTCCATGTGCGCTGCCCACACGTCCGTGGGACACTTGACATGCAGGAATCACTCGGGCCACACAGGGGTCCACCCAGTTCGGCGACACTGGGCCCCTCATCTCTGGTCCAGGCTTTGTCCCCGCGGCTGTTTGGTGAGGTTTACCCTGGTTAGAGGAGCAGGTGTCGGGCAGAAATCCGGGATGGACAAAGATTGTGTGTGTTGTCTTACCCCTGAGGGACGGCAGCGGACATGAAAGGGGTACAGGGAGCCGTGGCCAGCGAGGACACGCAGGCGTTTCCCTCCGGCTGTGGGGAAGCCAGCGGCACGCATTCTGTCCCTGGGAGAGCGTGCCGTACGGTCGAGGACTTGGAGAAACCCTCTTTAAGCAGAGGCCGTGCTGTGAGATGGAGAAGAATTTAGCGTAATTGTGCTTATTTGTGGAAGGTCTTCTGATGGACATTTCCTCCCTGCTGCTTAGAGCTGGCTTTAAACGCTGACGTCTTTGCTGCGTGGCTGACCTTCTGGGATGGGGCTGCACTATTTCACTGGTTTAATTGGCGATCCGCAGGTGACTTTTCCGGGGTGGAGACTGATGTTATTTTGTGTGAGTCACATAAAGGCCTGTATTTATGGCGCCCGTAAAATCATTGAGCTCTATCCTGCTGCATAATGGCAATCGCAAGAAGCCTAATTAATTTCTCAAACCTGCCCAGACCCGGAAGTGCCGTAGCCGAGAAAACTGGAAGAGCTAGTGTATCTCGAAGACTGTGAGAGTCCCGTGTTCTTACTTCCAGACCCGGTGGGGGTGGCTCCCAGGGTTCTGTCCCTGCACGTGGGTCGGACAGTAAGAACGGCGCTTTGTCTCATTGATTTGACATTTGCTCTCCGTGGTCAAAAGTAAACGTTCAGAAGGACGGGGCAAGCAGCGAGCGAGCAAGCACCTGTCTGTGCAGGTGTCTCGCTTCTGTCCCCACCTGCCTGCCTGCCTCCCGCCGCCGCCAGTCTGCCCGGAGGACACACGCTGCCGTGTTCTGTGACCGGGACCGTTTCTCGGTGACCACCCGCTCCGAAAGTGAGCTGAGGCTGGTGTGTGCTCATTTGTGTCTCTCCTTCGTGTCCCACAGACCAAGCTCCTGGCTCAGTTTCCCATGCAGACACAGTCCATGACCGTATGGTGTGCGTCATGTATGTGAAATCGCAGCGGAATGTCTAACTGTGAAGGTGGTGTCTGCTGGAAGGCAAGGCCAGGGGGTGGGTCCCGTCTCTTAAAACCTCAATGTCATATTGGCTCAGGCAGGACTAGAAGTGTCACAGTTGATCATTGGGAACACAGTCATCCTCTTCCTCTCCCCTGCGTGCATTTTACAAATCATTTCTGATTGTCCCCCAGAGCCAGCCAGGAGGTAGGGACCCTCGGGGGCGTGTGGGCCTGCGTCCCGGAGCTGCAGAATGGGCACCAGGCGACTGGGCTACAGTGGCCTTCCAATAGTCCTGCAAGGCCATCCGGGCTCAGGGACAGTGCCGGGAGGGCTGAGGTGGCGAGGAGGGTTTCTGGAGTAGGGGTGCCCGAGGTGAGTCTGGAGAGGCAGACAGGAGGCCAGGCTGGCCCTGCCGTTGCCCACGCCGAGCACAGGCAGGGGAATAAACGGAGGACAGCAGTGGAAGGAGAGAGGTCTGCAGCTGGAGGAGGCGTCTGGAGCCTCCCAGGTCAGGCAGAAGAGATTAGAAACGGCGCCCGGTGCTCGGGGAGGTGAACTCACACACGAACGGGGCCACGTGGCTCTTCTGCTCATATCTGAACGCTTGTGGCAGCGGCACTTGGAAAGCTGAACTTGAACGTGGGCTCAGAGACAGAAGGTCGCCGTGGAAGTAGCACAGCGTCTGTTCCCTCCCTCTGTTGACAGGTTTTCTGTAAAATCGCCTGCAGATAGACATTCTTTCTGCGTTCTTAGGAACGGGAGCATTCTAGGCTGAGTGTGCTTCCTGAGGGCAATGGAGCTTCCCTGGGTGGCCCTGCTTTCCTCGCCACTGACCTCAGATCACTGGTGTTTGTTCTGCTCATCCCGGTCCCCGGGCCTCCCCCTGCAGGGCTGAGACCAGGGTTCGGGTCGGGAAGACCCTGCCGGACCCCCTGCAGGGCTTACAGGGAGACGGAGAGTCTGCAGGGAGCGTCCCTGTTCCAGGGAGGGTTCCCGGGGACATCGCAAGCCACCACCAGAGAGAAGAACCCTGAGCCCCAGGGCCACAGCCTGCACACTCCCTGCCTTTGAGATGACTCAGTCTTTGGATGTGGTTCTTCTGCCCCCGCGATCCTGGCTCCGTTTCAGATACCGTCTGGTCCAAGGCTGGAAGAAGACATTGTCCATTCGCCACCAGGAAACAATTTGGTGTCTGTGAGCCCGTCACGACCAAGAGAGCGGAGTGTGAGAGAAAGCTGAGCTTTGGATGGGCTCGATGGTGTGGGGACGTGTCCCCAACCAGATGCTGTTGGTAGGGAATTAATTACAGTGTGGTTGTCGGAACCACAGGCAGTGGGGTGCCCCGGATGGTGAGATGAACTCGTCAGTGAGAATCCCACACACATCTCTGTGGTCCTCACTGCGTTCCGGGCACACAGGCGCTGGGTGGGAAGGGTGAGGACAGTCCGGGTTCTGGAGGCTCGCTGTCCGGCAGGATGTGTGGCAGGCAGTGGGTGGACACTTGGACAGGGCGGCGGTCTGCCCTGGAAGGGGACGCGTGAGCAGCCAGGATGCTAAGGGAAGGGCACCCTGCCGACTCCTGGGGCAGTTCCCAGTGGGTCCTCCCTGCTCCAGTCTGGAGGGAACAGAGCAGAGGAGGTAAAGACGTTGCATCAAGTTGGGCCTCAGGAGTAAGGGGAGCGTGAGGCACCAGACTTGCCTGGACACGCATGCTCTTCCAGAAAGTCTCTGTGCACCTGACACCTGGCTTCTGTGGCCCTGGTCCACACGGTGGCCTTGAAGCCATGGTTCTGAGACCTCAGAGCACAGACAGCATGGTGCTTGACGGTGGGGTGCTGCCGGCCAGCTCTGTCTCATGGTCCGTGAGGGGTGCCCTTATGGGCACACCGCCTTTTCATCATGTCCTGAGTTGCCTTGGGCCGGTTGCCGGTCTCGGGTGTGTGCCGTCCCTGCTGGAGCCTTCCCGGAGGAGGCAACTCCCGCACAGCCCTCGGGCTGCCTCACCAGGTGGGCACATGTGTCCCTTGGTTCATGCACGGGTCACCGAGAGTTTCCACGGGTACAATCTCATTTTGCGTTTTTGTGTGTGTCACAGTCCCTTGGGGCGTAGTGGTAGATGCGACGGTCAAAGTCAGAGACAAAACCGGGGGAAGGAGTCTCGCTGGGCATTAATTCCCTGCCTCCACCATTGCTTCCAGAAACACAGAATTAAGTGCGACAAAGCTACTGGCATTATCGAGATGGTCATGGACCGATTTACGACTGAGAACGAAGGCACCTACACTGTGCAGATACATGACGGAAAAGCCAAGAATCAGTCTTCTCTGGTTCTCATCGGAGATGGTACGCCCTCCCGCGTGCGTCTGTGCACCTGTGAGAGGAAGGCCGCGAGTCCCCGAGCTGCTCAGACCACACAGACTCAAACATTTCTCATTTCTTTTCCTTTCCATATTGACCTCAGCGTTCAAGGCTCTCCTAGACGAGGCTGAATTTCAAAGGAAGGAATTCCTCAGGAGGCAAGGTAGGTCTGGGCTCGCCCCCAGGCGCTGAGCACACGGAGTGCTCCCAACAGATTCAGCTCGATGCCAAGCGGCTGTAAACGCTGTTACAAATGATCACAAAGTCAGGCGTTTCCCATCCGTGGAAACTTGGGTATTTTTCCGTTCTTTGCACTTTACATTTATTTTCATCTGAGTTTTTGTCTTGCTTCTACCTTGAAAAGCCCCAGAACCTACAGGTTACTGTTTGTATTTCCTGTTCCTGAGTCAAGGACGTGGTCAGGGTGGCTGAGGGGCCGGCCGGCGAACCGAGTCGTCTCTCTGTTTGCGCTGAGGCGGAGGTGACCCCAGACCCTCATTTCTTCCTGGTGTAAGGGACTTGGACGGGCAGCCATGTGACAGACGGCCATGACTGCGGGCTCGCTGCGTCCGCCCTTCCCAGGGACGTGCATTTCGCTCCCGCCGCGCCCCATGCAACCCTCCGGGTCGGTCGGCTACTCTCCTCGCCTTCGCCCTTGTCCACACACACATTTCCATCTCCTGGGGTCTGGCCATCCCACAGTGACATGGCTTTCCAGGGTCACCTCTGCAATTGGGGCACCGTCTGAAGTCCGAGCTGGGGTTCAGGCTTCCCAGGAGCTGTCATGAGCGCGTGGACTCCGCGACGCCGCCTCCTGAGCTCCTCCTGAGCCGGTGTCAGGGGGCTGGGACCTGGGGCGTCTGGGGACGGCCGCTGTCTGCTCTGTAGCTTCCTGCGGGGCAGAGCTCGGTACTTACCGCGTGAATGACATGCGAGTGCAGACGCGGCCCCGGCCCGTCCCGTCGCATAGCACAGCTGTTCTGCCGAAAGCGCTTTCAGAGATGCAAGTAAGCACACGCCCAGACGCGTGTGTGCGCTTTCCTTTTCTTTCCCTTAAAAAAACCATCTCTCCCTGTTTTCCCTCAGGCCCTCACTTTGCGGAGTACCTGCACTGGGATGTTACAGACGAGTGTGAAGTTCGGCTTGTTTGTAAGGTGAGGCCTGGGCTCCAGCGAGGGGACGGTCAGCTCTCCCCGCGGGGCTGTGGCGGGCCTCGCGGGAAGCGTCCGCCGGTCACGGGATGCGAACCCGCGCAGTGTGCTGGGTGCCGCGTGACTTCGAGTCTCGCCGTGTTCTCCATGTAGACTGCAGTGTCCGCGCCTCCCGGAGGGACTGCGGCACGGCGACGTGCAGGGGACAGTCAGAGGCGATTTAAATGTTTAAGAGTTTTAGCGAGGGGCCGTTTGGGAAGCTCGCTACTGTGAAAGACATCTGGTAATTTCCACGCTGCTCACATGGTTTCTTTAAAGAAAGAAGGAATGTTCTGGAAATAAGAAGCTTAGATTTTGTCCTAAGAATCGAGCACTGAAGTAAGCCTTTGTTCCTGCGGCGGCTACAAACCTGCGTGTGCAGGAACAGAACTCCAGGAGCACGAGCTGCGGGAACAGCACTACAGCAGGGACCGGGGACCAGTAATGCCTGGTTTTGTCCCAGAAAAAGAGTGATTGCACGAGGGGACGGATGTGTTAACTAACCGTGCTATGCTGGCCATTTCCCAGGACTGGGATGTATCCCTTACACTTGAGCAATGTTAAATGTCAGTTATATCCCAGTAAAGCTCGGGACAAAAGTAAGGTGAAGGCCAAGGAGAGTGAGATAAGGGATGGGGCAGCATTCGCCTGAGGAGAGGAGAGCGGTCGGTCGGGACCAGAGTGTGGCGGCTGGTGTGCTGGGGCTGGAAGGAGGGCATCAAGCGTGTCCTTACACGGCTATGGGGCTCGTGGGACTTCTCCCTCCTGGTGCGCTCGGAGATCATTCTAGTGCCCTCCCACTCTGTAGACACGCGATGGTATTTCAGGTTCCCTGACCACAGCGAGTCAGAAGTTTTTAAACGCGGATACTGGAGGGACCGAACACAGAAACTGACACTGGAGCGTTTTGCAGTTTGACACACTTAACTGGTGCAGTCGTGTCCCAGCTCCTGTGACGCTGCAAATCTTCCTACGTGGTCTTCCCCTTAGTAATACGTTAGATGATTTTTTGAATGTACTTGCATAACGAAACACGGGGAGAAAATTTAGGCAATGTACATTCATAATATAACTTCACAGAAAACTATCTTTTATATTTGCTTATTTATTTATAAAACTATCTTTTAAAAGAAGGGTTTACCATAAAATAAATTTCAGTCAGACACAAGAAAATCCCCTAGAAAGTTCTTGTGTGGCAGACGTGGGGACTGGGGTGCTCCCTCTCGGAGACTGAGTCAGGCATGTGCCACATGATATCTCGGGGGTCTTGTCACTCTCTTTTCTAGGTATTATGGACATTTTCGGTGCCCGTGTTTAAGGAGCAGGAGGGAGAAATCACAGAGAGTACAGAGGGAAGACAGTGGGTCCTTCCGGGGCGTGAGAACCCCCAGCTCTAGGACCAGGCGGCCGGCGGGGTCTGTTTCAGAGAACAGACGTTGGAGCTCGCTAGACAGGCTCGTATTTAGCACACAGGAGCCAACAGTTGAAAATATCTGGGAAAACTAGAGTGAGGGGGAGCAGCACAGAATTGAGGTAAAGGGCGTAAGGGTTGGGGTGGCCCTGGAGTATGGGCACCAAGATCTTGAAGTGTCAGGAAGGAGGTCGTCTGCTGGACCGTGTGCTGCCGTCCTTCCGCCGTCGAGTGTCCGCTCGTGGTCCGGACTTGAGAACGGGGCTCCTGCCTCTGGTGCACGGACTCAGCAAACATCTGTAGACCCACAGGGCGTGCTGCCGGGTCCGGGGGTGCGAGTGGGAGCGGTAGCACATCCCGGATCCCTGCTGTCCTGGGGATTGTGCCCTGGAGTTGTCCCGGGTGACACGGCTCGTGGCCGACGGGCGCTCTGAGCGGTGCGGACTACGGCAGATCAGAACCCGTCGCGCTGTCTGAATGCTCGTAGTTCGTTTGTTTGTGTCCCTGACATCACTTTCGCTGAGTCCGCGTGGGGTGTAGACGCAGAGTCACTGGTCTCAATAGTCCGCCGTGGCCAGTTCAGTCCGTTTGTGGAACCAGGCTTGCTTCTCATCCGTGGGCGAACACAACAGAGTGTGTGAACCAAAATGCTTCCTCATCTTTGGAATTCTGCAAAGCTTCGTGTCAAACGTAAGCTCGCGTCACAGACTGAATCGTGAGGAGTTTTAGTAGAAGGAAAGTTTCCGTTCTCATCGGGCGTATTTGCTGTGATGGTTACATCCCTTCTCTGCAGACACACCTGAAATGTCACGCGGCCAAAAAGCCACTGAACGGTTTGATGGCCCTCTAAGGATACTTCCCACTGTTTATAAATTTAAAACACACGGCTTACAACTCGTTTTTATTACTGACATCTCATATAAATCAAGAGATCCTCACGCTGCGTAATTTCACGGGCTAGGACGATGTGTCCTGTACGCAATGGTGGGGGCGTAATGATTTCAGAAGCTGGAATTTAGAAATGTATTTGCCATTATTAGGACTGACAGCTCTTCCGCGAGCCTCTGGCTGAGGCTATAATGAAAACTGATGGTATTTTTTTAAAACTCTGTGATTTAAAATCCAGAGACTTTGTTTCTTAAGCTTTTATTTATGTGTATTTATGTAATTTTAATTATGCTGTGTGTTAATTTGGGGCTGGGTGGGGTGGGGAGGAAGAAACAGGTTTCCAGCTGAGCAGAGAGCCAGATGCACGACTTGATCCCAGGACCCTGAGATCACGACCTGAGCCTTAGGCAGAGGCTTTACTCACTGAGCCACCCAGGTGCCCCCCAGAGAGTTTTTTCTTAAAAGCCAGAGTAATTCACATCCTAACCGTAAGATTTCTGCCTCGTAGGTTGCAAACACCAAGAAAGAGACAGTTTTCAAGTGGCTGAAGGATGATGCTCTGTATGAAACAGAAGCGTTGCCGGATCTGGAGAAGGGGGTCTGCCAGCTCCTCATACCCAAGGTACCTGCTGTTCCCGGAGCAGGAGGGAGGCCAAACAGAGGCGGGGCTTTCGGACAACTTGGAAATCCTACATTAGCTCCCCCTTTTAATCCTGAATTTTCTGTGGTTTGCAAGGGGAGTAACTACCCATCACTGATGACGCTTTCTGTCCTGGCATTGATCTTACGTGCGTCCGGGGTGTGTTTGTTTGCAGCTGTCAAAGAAGGACCTCGGTGAATATAAGGCGACCCTGAAAGACGAGAGAGGTCAAGATGTCTCTGTCCTTGAGATAGCTGGCAAAGGTAGAATAAAGCCTTCTTCATCCTCCCCCAGAGAAATCTGTCCTGCCGACCGGACGCGGCACGCTCGGAAGGCGCCTCCATGTGTTTCCGGACGCTGTGCTGCAGAAGCCCCATCTCTCCCGGCATTCACACCCGCTTCAGCCTTTTGGAAAAATATGTGCTGCTACTTTGCGTTTGTGGGAAATGTCATTTTAGTCCATCATCATAAGCCAAGTTTTCTCCCATTAGTAATGGAGTTAGAATGATCAAAATGGGAGAGGGGAGTGAGTCACTTCAATGTATAGTTGGATTTATGTGGAGTCAGGTTTTCTCATTCCTCACGTAAAAAGGGAACAGGCTAGAGGGATTTATGACCACCAGGAGCCTTTTATGGATAAATGTTGCCATTTTAATGTTTCATTTTTCAAATGAACATCCCGACTCCCTGTATCAATTTAATTAAACATGAAACTGCTGCCTTGTGATGAAATTATACTTTGTAACGGGACATTTCCCTTCTTCTTTTCAGTGTATGAGGACATGGTGTTGGCAATGAGCAGAGTGTGTGGTAAGTAAGGATTTCCAGGGTCTGTGTGGGGCCCAAGTCCCCGTTTCCTGGGGCGGGCACAGAGCCCTGCCAAGGGGCACCCGGGGCAGCCCTTCCGCTGCTCCCTTTCGCCATCTGAAGGGGTTTGAAGCATTATATTTAGGATCCGTGTTTTATTTAAAAAAACAAACAAACAACAACGCAGTTTGGGTCTCCTGATTAGCAATTAGATGATTGCCTTGTCGTAACTGCTCTCAGCCTCTGTATTACCGGTGTTGAACAGCTATAGTGAATTTGAAGCGTCTGGCTTCGCGTCATGTCTACGAAAGCCTTTCTTCAGCTTTGCGAATGAATCCTTCCTCCCCACTTCCCCTTCCACGGAAACTGTGAGAACGAGGGGATGGGTTAGGAATTCTGTAACAACAGCTCCTACGTGGGTCGGGCTTTATGCTAAGAAGGACGACATGTTATTATGTGGCTTTTTAGAGATGCCGTAACTTAGATCCTCAGAGCCAGTGACGGGGGCAGGAAAGGGGCCCAGTGGCGGGTCCTCTGCCCCCAGAGTCCGGGCTCTAACCAGCCGTGACCCACGTCCCTTGCCAAGCTTACCTGTGGCTCACACGGGCTCTCCGACGTTCTGGAAACCTTCTTGTGTTTATTTGTCATCGCTCCCTCAGAGTAGCCCTGCAAGGTAGATTGTCCTCAGTTCTACTTTGGCTCGGTCAGATAAACATGACTGTGTTTTAAACGTGTTTTGCCTTGACGCTGATTAAGGGACCGGGCTGTCCCCGGGGCTGCCGAGCCCCCAGCTGCAGGCCTGTGACGCCGTCTGGAGGGCTGGCGTCCCGTGCTCCGTGGAGCTGTTACCGTATCGTGTAGCATGCACCCTGGCGGGGCTGACGGCCGTCCTGGAGGAGTGAGCGTGTCTGTGCAAAGCGGAGGTCCTCCTGCTCTCCCCTGCTCCGGCGCAGGGAGGACCATGTGCCGAGAACAGACGCAGGGTCGCCCACCTCACACACGAAGCCTCGGTCCTCCAGAGAGGCCAGGCCCCCGCCATGACAGTCCCCACATGCAAGGGGCAGCAGTGAGCGCCGTCTGACGCTGATGCGTGTGTGTTGGCAGCACGCCAGGCTTCCCGCAGCCCCTGCCCCTGCTCCAGAGTCCACAGGTCCTGCCCTCCCCAGCCCAGCTCCTGCCCCGCCATCCTCGCAGCAACCCCCCAGCATGGGGCATTTCTGGGCCGCCCCATGGTGTCTGGGCCATCCTGGGTGCTGGTCTTGCTTTCGTCTTGGAGTGACAGACATGGTTCCCGCCACGCCTGTGCCCTCGTCCCAGACTGCCATCCCGTATGCGGCCCCGGTGCTCTTTCAGGAAGTGCTAGCCTTTGTTCTTGGGCCTGGGGAGGCACCTGCTTCCCTCATCCTCGGGGCAATGGTGCCCCTGCCTCCTCCAGCTGCTTCTGAGAGTGTCCGTTGTGCTGTGTGCACACTCGTTTACATGCATGCAGACTCACACTCACATGCACAGACTCACCCACATGCCTGCAGACGCACACTCACGTGCACACAGACACACACTCACATGCACACAGACTCACACTCACATGCAGACTCCAAAAGTCAAACTCCTCAGCTGGGTTTCAGGGACCTCCATTAACTGTGCCACAGAATGCCCCGAGGGTGCCTGCTGAGTCCTGCGGGATCCCAGAAGTGCCCGGGGTTTGCAGGTGAGAGCTGCAGCTCCCTGAGGAGCTGTGGTTTGTTCTAGGTGGTTCCGTTCATGACGACTGGGCTGTGCGCGAGAAGCAAACCCGCCAGGGTTCCTAGACCTGGAGTCCCGCGTCTGCTGACTTCTTCCCTAGGGGACATGCGTCTCTAAGGCATCGCCCACACGTCTGTGACAATCATGGGGCAATCATGCCATTCTGCAAAAATATCTCGCGTGTGTTGTTATCTAAAGGGAGCCGAAGGATATACCCTGGTTTTCGAGATTGATGGGACTCCTGAATGTCTAATCAGAGAACACCTATTGGTGTGATGGAAATCTCAGCGGCAGACTTCACTTTCGGTGTGGCCTCTCTCATAAACTAAATACCCTGCTGGCTCAGTGTTGTGTCGCAGAGTAAGAAAGCTCCTTACGCCTTTGGAATCAAGGCTTCACAATGATGCATCCGGCAAAACAGGAGCTAGAGCGTCGTAGTTACACTTAGCCCCCGTCGGTATCATTCTTGGGGACGAGGCTCTCGTAATCCAGTTCTGGGAACGGTGTCCAGGTCCTTTCTCGCTGCGGGCGGCAGGGGCAGCTCCCCGCCGGGCCGGCTAGCTGGAATCAAGCCCGTCTGGATCTGCAGAGTGTCTCCCAGCCGTTCCCAGGGCTCGATTATCAGTCCTCGGGGAGTCTTCCCGCTGACGTCCGTGCTTCGAGTTGAGGAATTTTCTAGCGTGGCTCTTCCTCTGTCAGTTTGTGTTTCACGGGTGGCACCTTTGTTTCCTCTCCGCTTGACCAGAAAACCTTCTGGGTGTCTGATCATTTCCTGATTCTGATTCTAATAGTCTGGAACGTCACCCTGAACTTCAGGCGACTTGGCCTTTCCTAAGACTATGCCATTTCTGCTGTTCTGTGTTCAAGGATGTGTAGTTGGCTGTCTCAGAGACAGGGCCTGAGCAGGAGGGAAGCTGAGGGGTCAGCCCGCCCCCTCCCCTCCCGTCTTCAATGCAGGAGAAGCCCAGGGGAGGACACGTCGCTCCCGTCCTTTCTCCGCGGCCTCACTTATGTTCCCAGCTTCCAGCAAGTCCAGAGCATGCCAGGCACCTTGTGTCTCCAGCTTGCATTTTCCTCTTCTCACCTGTTGCTTTCCATCACTGTCCTCCTCTCTGTCCAGGAGGAGCAAGAAACAAGAAACGGAAGGACGGGGAAGGAGAGGGCTTGGGTGCGGCTGCTCACTGCAGAAGTTCCCTTACTGGGCTGTGGCCAGGGACACAGGAGTGCCTGCCCCCTCCCCCTCTCTCAGCCCTTCCTCCTTCCTCCTTCTGTCTTTCCACCCGGCTTCTGCCCCCCGTACCCCTCCTCCATGCACCCCTGTGACCCTTGGCCCTTCCAGGAGAATTGTCTTTCCTTGAGCTGAAGGCTGTCCTTCCTGAGGCCCCGGAGCTCTGACATGTCCAGGACATGAGGCTGTGGGGTTGGGGGAGGCCCCGGGGGGAAGCTCCTGCTCCTAGCACGGCCCCCATGCCGCGTGCGCTCGCGAGGGTGTGTGCCTCGGTGAGAACGTGGTGGCTTTGTTATAGCCTTGAATTGACGTGAGGGCCTTAAGCACGACATGAGTTAAAGAAGATGTTCTGAGAGCATACGGTGGGATATTATCAGCCCCGGGAGAAAGGAATCCGTCATTTGGACACTGGCGGTGAACCTGGAGGCTGTGCTGTGAGGACGCCTGACACAGAAAGGCAGGAGCTGCCTGACTCCCTGGCTTGTGGCTGGGGACCAGCCGGGCTCACTGGAGCAGGCGGACGGGTGGGAGTTGGGCTGGGAGGGGGGCGGGGAGGTGTCGGAGGGCACACGGTCTCTGGCTCGGAGCTCGGTGGTGCCGCATGGTGCCCACGGTCACGAGCGCCCTGCTGTACGCTGAAGGGGTCGTGTGGGAGGTGAGCGGAGCAGGCGTCCCGCGGCGGGCAGGCGGCAGACACGCGCCCGCCCAGCTGCACCGGCTCCCCCAGTGGAGCTCCTGCCTCCCCGCCTCACCGAGCTGCTGTAGCTCAGGCTCTCGGAAGGTACAGGGATCAGGGGCGCACCGATGCGGGGGAAGCGGAGGCCGGGGTGTCTCTGTGCCCTGCGTGGGTGTCCAGTGACCTCCCTGTTGGTCACCCCCAACCCTCCATTCCCCCGGGCTCCAAGTCAGGGCCTCATGCTGCACTCGGTCATCAGTTCAGCCCCTCTGCTCACACAGCCCCCTACCCCTCACCCCTGCCCCCTGCCTTCGAGAGGTCTGTCACGGCTCTCCTCTTTGCATTGGGGTTTGCGCGTGCGTCACGTCTCTGGGGAGTGGTGAGTTTCAGCAGGAGCCGAGGTCATAGAGGCGGCCCGGGGGCACTGCCTTGGGGAATTCTTCCAGTCACTCCGTCGGGAAAGCGGTTCCCCCCGAGTGTCTGTTGGCTGATCTTCCCTTATGGGGGCTCATGTGACAGTAAGTGGAAATCAGGGACCACCACCGTCATGGCCGTTTTTATTTATTTATTTTTTTATTTTGGTTTCTATTTCTTTACACAAAGTCATAAATACAATTTGTTTCTTGCTTTTTTTCTTTTTTTTTTTTTTTTGCCATAGTTTATGATAATTATCCACGTTTTATGTCGATAATTGCCCATAGTCACTGTGGCCATACTGCTGTTTCACGGAGCGGCTGCTCTGTGGTCCAAAGTCCTCCTTACAGGGACAGCGACCGCTGCTCACCGTTACGAGTTGCCGTACGGTGCTCATCCGTGGACAGAGAGGCTGTTTTCAGTATTCGGGATTTTTCCTTCGGGAGAGCTCCCAGGAGTATGAGGGTCGTGTGGAGTATGTGGGTGTCTGGAGGGCTCGTAGCAGAAGTCCCCGGTGGCTTATAGCCTTAGCACGTGGTGCGTTTCGAAAGTCTCTTCTCCATCACACCCTTGTCGGTTGTTTTAACTGTATCATTTTCTTTTATTTTGCTGATTCCGTAAATAGTATCTTCTGGGTGCCTGAGTGCCATGGGTCTGTGTAGATTCTCTGAGGTTACGTGTCTGGTACAATCTCTGCTCCCAGCTCCCCACCCCTGCCTGCCCCAGCGCAGCCGGCTAAGTTCCCACTCCAGAGACACGAACGACGCCTTCACTCATTTCCTAGGCTTTCCTCACCGCCCGTGGCTTCTCCTGCCTTCTTCCCTCTTACCCGGTCTTTGCTCATCTCAGAGGACGGACCGTAGCCTTTCGACTCCTTGACACCTTCCTGGGTCATTTCTGCGGAGTCATCTCTCAGAACACTTAAGTTCCAGATCAGTTAATACAGAATTCACCGCGTTACTGAGCTGTTTACCAGAAATTTCCGTCCTCTTCTGAAGCTCAGCGGCCAAGGGACAGATGTTGAGCCTTTCTCTAACGTTCCGCGTCCTTTACGGTATTCAGCAACGAGGATTTCAGACACATCTGGCCTTGGCAGGCGCGCGGGGAGTGAACGGATACGGTGTGGGGAGGGTGAGAGGAACGTGTGGCCGGAACATACAGACTAGAGGCTGCGTTTACACGGGACAGAGCAGCGTCCCCTGCCGTTGCACCTTTGGTTCTGACGGCTGCCGTGCCGCTTCTCATGGTCTGAGTCTGTCTGTTTTCTGCAGGGGCATCTGCTTCTCCCCTGAAAGTGCTCTGCACCGAAGAAGGAATAAGACTTCAGTGTTTCATGAAATACTTTACCGAAGAAATGAAAGTGAACTGGTATCACAAGTAAGTATGAGTGTGATTGATGGCGGCCACAGGTGGAGCAGTGCCCAACGCATACAGCTGGGCACTGCGCTCCTGGCCGTCTGTCACGGCACGCCCCTCCTCTGGACAACCCTGGCCCGGGGCAGGGGACATCATGGCCATAGAGGGGACCTCTAGGAGGGGAAAGACAGAAAAATCCCTGAAGGTACTAGAGACACATTTCTGCACCGTCTGGGTTTTACCAAATGGGGTGGCACACGTGTTATCTGCAGTCGAGCGGGCAGCTAACGGAAAGATAGTGCATGGAGACCACACTCCCCGTGTCCAGTCTGTCAGCTCCTCCCTAGCTTGATTAAGAAGGGAAGGGCCAAAGTAAGTCCAGAGTTAAAGGAAGAAAGGAAACGACGAGGTCCCGTCTGAATGGCAGGTTTTCCGTGTTTCTCGTTGTGGCCTGTGGCTTCTCCAGGTGCGTAGGGTTTGCCCCCATAGCCCGAGACTTTTGTTGTGGTCGCAACACGGACGAGCCCTGGTGCCCAGCCCTGGGGTCTGGGTCTTTCAAACCTACACCCCAAGGGTGTCCTTAGAGCTGCTGCTCGGAACTGCAGGCCACCGAGCCGGCCAGACCGAGGTCGACGTTCCCCTGGAGCTGAAGAAGAAGGGGGGCAGGGCGAGGCTTCTGCTCCGTCTCTGCTCCGACCTGAGGACACAGGCAGCGTCCCTAGCCCGTGTTCTCAGTGAAGTCAGGGTACCACGCTCCTGGCCCCTCGGTGAGCTGAGCCCCCGTGTTTTACGCGTTCATTGTATCTACTGTTTTCATCAGGTTGAAACTGTTTTATTGGATCTCACATTTACAATCATTGCAATCTCAGTGATACGCCTTCATTTATGAAACCCATCCTAATGGACCACACTTTTCTTCCTTTTTTCCTTTTTTCTGATGTTCCGTCAGCCGAAGCACATCCTACCTCTAGATATGCTCCTTCTCGCACACTTCTGAGGTGGAGGCTGTGCTCGCGGCCATCTCCCTTTTGAAAGCGTCGTGTGTCCAGGTGCCTCTGCTTTCGAGTCCAGTGTGAAGGGCGTAAGGAGTGGATATTCTTGGTTTTCTCTCCCGTTTGACCCCCGGTGGGCTGTGTTTCTGCCCGCGTGGCGTCCGGTGGAGGTGGGGTCATCGTGGATCCGGGGGGAGGGTCTGTGCCTCCGAGGCAGGGTCCTGTGGCAAAGGCCCCGCTAACGGGAGCCTTGGCGTAGTTTTGTGCTGTAACTTTCCCTGTTTTCTTGGACGAGTGGGTCCATCTGTCTCCACTGAGCCCAGCGCTCCCCGGACAGGTGCATTCCTGACGTCCTTCCTGTGCTGCTTCGTCCCGGACGGCGTGTGCTGTCCTGCAGCAGGTCCTCCGTGCTTGGGACGTGTGTCCTGTGTTCCCTCCTGACCCTGGGCTGTCCCCGGACGGGCTGCTCCGTCCTCCATGCTTTCCCAGAGCGGCACACGCTGCAGCAGGCACTGGGGTGCACAGACTGGATGGGCCTGCACACCTGCATGGACACACAATGCTCACGCCTGTGTGAGCACACTCACATGCACACGAAAGCACACCCCATGTAGATGCACACACATGTGAGCACACTCGCACCCACACAAATGCATATCCCATGTGGGCACACATGCGTGCGTGAGCACACGCTCACCCACGTGAACGCACACACCCATGAGAAGGTGCATTGACATCTGCGTGAACACAAGTCACACACCTGCATGAGCACACACTGCTCACACCCGTGTGAGCACACTCACATTCACACTCACATTCATATGAACGCTCGCCCCGGCGTGGACACACACACACACACACACACATGCGGGTCGGTAGACGTGTCGACACTGGCACTGGCAGGACGTCTGTGTCACCGTCACAACCACTGTGCATTAAGCACTTCACACACATGGTGTCACACAGTCCCGGGTTGGGTGCGACTCCCCACTGTCATCGATGTGGAAACTGAGGTTTCGGAGGAGGAATGTGATGGGTTTGCTCCAAGCCCCACAGCCAGTGGAAGAACGGGGACCTAGGTAGTAGCCGGTCTGACTCTCACCAGCTCCCTGCGCGGGGTTGTCAGGCTTGTGGGGGCTCAAACAGACGGGCAGACGGACGGACAGACGGAGAAGTCAGGGCTCGGGTCAGATGTGTGACTCCTGGATGAGGAGGCGTCAGGGGAAAGGTCGAGAGAGCCCGCAGAGAAGGGGGCGACGTCGGAGATCTCCGTGGACCCCAGGGGCCTCGTCTGTGTGTTTTCTCCCCTCCAAACAGAGTCTGCTCCACAGCCCCCCGAGTCTTCCTTGAGCACCTCGAGGGCTAAGATAAACCTTGGCCTCGATCCTCCTCGACTGTTAAGCGATAGTGAACCGGGTGCTGCAGGTCTGTGGCGCCGAGACACCACGCTGGGTCGTATTTCACTGTTCGACTATTAAGTGATTAGGAAACAGGAAAATGGAGGAGACTAGGAACGCCCAGCCCACTCCGTCCGAGACTCACTGCCGCTGGACAGCCGCAGGGCGGCCCGGGGCCGTCACGGGTGCAGGCTCGACTGGGGACGCCGACTTCTTCGTGTCAGGAGTGGCCCGGGACCGACCGAGGCCGCTGAGGACCTGGAGAAGCGCGGGCGGGAGCGAGACGGCCGTTCCTCAGTAAGAACACGGAGGAAGGCGTCTGGGGGTGAAGGTGGCCTCCCAGGAGAGGCCTGCAGATCTCTCCAGGCCGACATGACGCTGAGCCGCGCCGCGCTTCCGAGACAGGACTGCGCCCTCCTGCTCAGAGGAGAAATTCACGCGCCCTCTGTAGTGCGGGTCTCCGGGCTGCTGACCCCTGGAGGCCTAGCGGCGTCCCCCCACCCAGGAAACCTCAACCCCGGACCCCAGCTGCCGCGAGTCTCACAACGTCTTACAACAACGTGGATTCTAATTCCGCTGGGGAAATTCCGCGCACGGAGGAGCCCTTGAGATCTAGTGAAGCAGTGAGGGGAAGGGGCACCCAGCTGTGCGTCAGGCTCCAGACAGGCTCCCGTGCACCCCCGGACGTGTGTGGTCCCTCGGCCTGTCCCGAGGTGTGCAGGACGGGCTCCGGCGCGAAGACCGTAGGGGCGTCTCTGGGGAAGACACCTTGGTCCCCGGGGAGCAACTCTCCATCTATAGTGTCGTGTCCTCCTCGGCGGGACTCCCTGCCTGAGACAGATGCTTCCCAGCCCGTCCGCTCGTGCACCTGCCTGGAAGCCCGGGGCGGCCTGTGTTCATGCCTGTGGCACTCATGGGGGTGGGAGTAAAACTTGCTGGATGGTTCCAGCCCCTCACAGGCTGCGTTGTTTTGTGAGGCTCCTGTCTCTCAGGGCCGAGTCCCCCGGCCAGAGGCAAATAGCTCCTGACTTTTGGGGGGTGATTGCCGATATCTGCGTTTGCCTGTCCACGGGAGGCAGAATCCGGATGGAGGTCCCGTGACCATCTGACGGGAGAGGGAGCCAACTGTCACTTTCCTCCTGGGACAGCCCGCCCGTGTTGACAGCTCCGCTCTCTGGGAGAGCAGCCTTGGCTGGCCTGTCTTCGACTTCGTTTTTAGACTTTTGTGCTTGTGTCCCTTCCGACGACTTGATTTAGCATAGCATAATCTAAATACTTTCACTGTACGATACAAACCACTCTGAGGCTTCTAGGACAGTCGCACACATAGCACAGAGTTCCTACGCGGCTGTTGCCCGGCTTCGTGGGAGGAAAACCCGGAGGTGGACAGTGACATGGTCCTCTGCCCTGAGCTGCAGACCTGGCCCGTGTTGTGCGAGGTTTCCAGGACACCACTGGGCACTAACCGTCTTGGCTCTTCAGGGTCCTGGAACCTGGGGCAGCTCCTCAGTCTGTCCTTCCTTGGCTTTTGGGACCTGGGTGCCCCCGGAGAGTTCTGGTCTGGTGCTTTGCAGAGCAGCCGTCCACTTGGGTCTGCCTCGTGGTTTCCCGCGATGAGATCGAAGGCATTCCTTCGTGGTCGGTGTGCAGGGGAAGTGATGCTGACCCAGGCACTCACCGGATTGACAGGTGGCTTCCCAGGTCTGTCCCCTGCAACGTCACCAGCTTTCGCTTTGTAATTAGTGTCTGGGGGCAACATTGAAACTCCGCGCATGTCTCCTGTGCGTCATTCTCTGACTGACTGATTTCGCTCAGCATAACACCCTCTAGTTCCATACGTTGCTGCAAATGGCAAGATTTCATGTTTTCGATGACTGAGTAGTATTCTGTTGTGCATATGGACCACATCTTCTTTATCCATTCATCTGTGGACTGACATCTGGGCTCTTTCCATACTTTGGCTATTGTGGACATTGGTGCTATGAACATTGGGGTGCACATGCCCCTTTTTTTTCACTGCAGCTGGGTCTTTGGGGTAAATACCTAGTTGTGCATTTGCTGGGACATAGGGCAGCTCTATTTTTAATAGAGGAAGCTCTTGTGGACCCTCCATGCTGTTTTCCAGAGGGGCTGCACCAGCCTGCATTCCCACCAACAGTGTAGGAGGGTTCCCCTTTCTCCGCATCCTCGCCAGCATCTGTCATTTCCTGACTTGTTAATTTTAGCCATTCTGACTGGTGTGAGGTGGGATCTCATTGGGGTTTTGATTTGTATTTCCCTGATCATGAGTGATGTGGAGCACTTTTTCATGTGTCTGTTGGCCATCTGGATGTCTTCTTTGCAGAAATGTCTTCTTAAGCATTGTTGAATTCAGTGGGAAGCAAGCAGAGAGGGCGCGGGCTTGGGAGGCTATGTTGGCTCTGGGGAGGGGGCTGGCAGTGGGGATTTGTCCCTATGGAGGAGCTGAGCTGGGGAGGGCGGGTGGGGCAGTGTGTGGCCATCTCCTGGCGGGGCTCCACTGCTATCTGGGGCACAGAATTAGCACACGGCCCAAGAGAGTGTGGGGTTCTGGAAGAAGCTGGCTCCGAGCTTGGTCCTGGCAGCTCAGCCGGGATTAGGGGTGAAGGCACATCCCCGTCCTAAGACAGCAGCTTCTTTCTGAGCTGGAGCTCTGGGGGTGGAGCAGGGTCACTGCTGCAGAACTGTGGCACCCCTGCCTCAGGGAGTGGTGGGCATTCCTGGGCGTAACGCATGGGGCCCGAGGAAAGCAGCATGCACTGCCACCGCCCCCTCCCCAAGTGCAGGGGATTTACGCTTTCTCAGTGCTGAGTGACGTCGTGCGGACACGGGTGGTCTTCACCCAAAGACACTCTCAAGGCTGCGGAGTGTTGCTTTCTGTAAGTCAGACTTGAATGGCAAAGGGCCCTGTGGTTGGGGAACGGGCGCCGCCGTGGCGGGCAGCGTGTCTGTCCGTCTCTGCTGCTGACCTGGCCAGTGGTGTTCCGCGCATGGAAGCTGGGAGGCCGTTTGTACCTGCTTGAACTGCTCTGGGACGCTTGTTCTTTCCTGAGCACAGAAGACAGAGACACAAGGAAACCGTGCTGTTGTCTCCTCCAAGCGAGCTGCTGACTTTGCAAACACATCACCATCCCAACGGGACGCATTTCAACAGAAACTTAACTCTTCTGGGGCTAAAAGTGTCACTGTTTCCCAGGGCATGTGTACGGTGACCCTGGGGCCGCGTGAGTTCCATGCGTTGAAGGAAGCTGGGTCCAATGTGGCTGATAACATGCAAATTCCAATCACGTTTTTTCATGGCCCAGGCAACTCGTGGGCTTCTGGCCATGCCCCACGGAAGCCGCTCCAGACTCTCTGCCCCGTCCATCTGTCCCTGTCCAGCCATCTCTCGCACACACTCATGGACGCAGATGTCTGACCATCCTGACCTGTGTGCCCAGAGCACAGCAGTCTTCCTCTTTGAGGACGATGTATTTGAATTTGTGGAAGTAGAGACAAGCACCTTTGCAGCCCCCAGACCCTTGGAGAACGTGGCACAGGGAAGCCCCCAGGGCCGGCCACACCCGGGGCTGCAGATGTGCAGAGCAGGCAACCTTCCTCTCGCCCAGCTGCCCCGGGCACAGCCTTCGAGGCAGAGCGCAAATCCCCGGTGTCACTGAGACCCCTTCTCAGCTTAGCTGGGGACATGCTGCAAATCCCAAAGCAGTATCCTGTCCCGTCCCGCAGGGAGGGGGCGATGCCATTCCCAGCAGGGGCTAGTGCGTTGGGATGGGTGCAGGGAGGCCTCATTCATGTGCGGGGCTCATGTTAAAATCCCCACCTCATCGGGGATCTTTCGCGCACGTCCTGAGTGCAGACGGCCGTGTTGGAGCCCCGTGGCCGTGCGTGGACCCAGCAGAGCTTGGAGGCCTCCAGGCTGAGCCTCAGCACCAGCGGCAGCAAATGGAGGGGGCGCAGCAGCATGGCCGGGGACATTCACGTTGGAGAGAAGGTGTCTCCTTCCTCTGCTTGGAAGAGGCTCTCCATACACGTTAGCTGCCCTTTACTCGGCCGTCGTGGGTCAGTCCACAAGCTGTCATGGCGGGCTTAGCTCCCCACCGGTCTACGACGTATGGTCTGCCACGTGGTCTATCCAAATGCTGACCGTCAGGGCGTACAAGGCGTGAGGAAGCCTCCTCTTTGTCCCGCTGCGATGTTCGTGTTGCGTGTTACCAACCACAGTTTCTGTTGGGGAGTTTGCACACGTGGGTTCCTCACTGTGCCTAGCATTTCAGGCTTGGGACTGATTGGCCAGCCCACAGCATGGTGTGTTTTCTTTGGAAGAGTGTTTCTGTCTGCAGAACTGAGAATCACGATGTACAGGTGAACTTTCTGTTTGTGCATGGGAATGAGGCGGTCTGAGAGCTGGCATCCCCGGGATAGACTAACGTCCCGTTCCTCTCTCCCCAGTCCCGGACCAGCACCATCCCACTCTCCGTCCGCATGAACTTGAGTACTCCAGGGGCCTCCCTGTAGAATCATTGCAGTCTGTGTGTTTTGCGGGTGACTTCTCTCACTCCACAGACTATAATGTCCTCCGAGGCCATCCACACTGCAGCAGGTGTCAGAATTCCCTCTGTTTTTTTGGGCTGAACACTGTTGCGTTGTCTCTGTACCTGACATTGACATCTTCTTTATTCTCCTGGTGATGGACATTGGGGTGCTGTCATCTTTAGGGTCTTGTGAACGATGCTATGGTGAACGTGGTGCAGGCACTTGTGTCCCCACTTTGAGTTCTTTGGGGTTTCTATCCAGAAGTGCAGTTGCTGACATATGGTCATTAGAAAACTTTTGAGAAAAAAAAATGCTGGTCTATAGAGAGCATTTTTGAGTCTATTATGTTGTGGCCAACAAGAATATATTAAGTAAGAACGTTTCTTTAAGAACTAGGCATCAGGTTCAATTTTAGAGCTACTGATATAGTTAATACATTTATAATATTCAGAAAAATCTCTTGTGACACAAGCACTAGCCAGCCCAGCAGGGCTCCCCACCAAACGAGGGACCCTTGCCCCATGGCCATCTTGCATATAAGTTTCTAAGTTGAGATGGGTTTCTGTTAACTCTTTATTTTTTTTAAAGAGATGCCAAGATTGCGTCTAGCGAGCATATGAGGATTGGCGGCAGCGAGGAGATGGCCTGGCTGCAGATCTGTGAGCCTACGGAAAAGGACAAAGGGAAATACACCTTCGAGATTTTTGACGGCAAAGATAACCATCAGCGCTCCCTCGACCTGTCTGGGCAGGGTAAGATCCGTCCTGTGGCCTCTCCCGATTTTGTGTTCAGGGATCCACTACAATGCTGGAAGAGGAAATGCTCTGATTCTATGCTTCTCACTCAGAGAAAATTTTTTCTGAATCATCAGTTTATCCCTTTGGCTGTTTGCCCTCATTAAGTCAATTCACTGGTAAAGCACCTGAGTGAAAGAAAAGCCAAACACATGGAAACCATTAAACTGTTGGCAACGTTTCCTTACAGCGTTCGATGAGGCCTTTGCAGAATTCCAGCAGCTCAAGTAAGATTTGCATGTCCGCACAGATTTGCACGTCTGCATGGTGGTCTGTCCCCCTGGGGTCACTTGGCCGAGTGCAGAAACATGGGGGGCCCCGGCACCCACAGAAAAATGACAGAGGGCAGGCGTCCTTCTAACCTGTGCATGTTTTTAGAAATTAACTTTCTAGAGTCGTCATTACCCAGGGTTGCTTTTGATGATGAACACGACAGATTTCTGAAAGAGTTAGAATTATGACTACACGTCTTACAGAGCAATTAAAAAAAAATTTAAAGATTTTATTTATTTATTACTACTTGTGACAGAGATAACAAGCAGGCAGAGAGGCAGGCAGAGAGGGAGGGGGAAGCAGGCTCCCTGCTGAGCAGAGAGCCTGATGTGGGGCTCGATCCCAGGAAACTGAGATCATGACCTGAGCTGAAGGCAGAGGCTTTAACTCACTGACCCACCCAGGCACCCCCAGAGCAACTTTTTAAATGTTATATGTTTATGTTCTTCCTAAAGACTTTATTTTTTTGAGTGATTTTATCACAGCAAGATTGAGAAGGAGGTGCAGAGAGTTCCTGTGCACCCCTGCCTGTCCCCTGCCCGCCCCCCTCTAGCCCCCCGCCAGCACCTCCCAGACGGTGCATTTGTCACCAGCGATGGACCTGCAGGGACACGTCCTTACCCACAGTCTGCGGGGGACGTCGGGGTTCCTCTGGGTGTGATCCATTCTGGGGGTTGGGACAAGTGTGTGACAGCGTGTGTCCCCAGCGGTAGGATCACACAGAGCATACTCACTGCCCTAAAACCCTGCGGGCTCCCTGTCCACACCTCCCGTCCCCTGTCTTCTGTCAACCACTGATCCTGGGCCTTGTCCTGTCTCCGTGGTTTGGCTTTTCTGAGCACATCCTGGACTTGGAGTCCTGAAGCGCGGACACCTTCACACTGGCGTCTTTCGCGCACCGATCTGCGTTTAGGGTTCCTCCCTGACTTTGTGTGGCTTGAAGCCTCGTATATTTTTAGTGCTAGATAATATCCCATTGTTCTGAGAGAATTTTTAAGTAATCCCTTGGGATTTTTAAACACGTATCTGAATTTTGGAGCATCCAGAAAGGAGAGCGGTCAGTCAGTGGCCGTACTGGGTCATTCAATAAATGAGGGTTGAAGGGACGAACAGGAAGCTAAGATAAACCAGGAGCCAGAGTTTTCAAAAATATCTAAAAATCTCCAGTGCAATCTGATGAATTTGGTGAAAAAAGAAATCTCTCCAAACTACATGCCCGAGCCCTGAGCTATTCCATGGGCGTGGTCACCTGCCAAAAGACGGGGCCTCCCGCCACCGCCCGCAGCGGTGACAGGGGGAGGCGCCAGGAAAAGTGCTCAGACACGGCTCCTAGTTGCTCAGTGCTTGCCGCGGACGTGTTCCTGTAAGAGGACGCGAGCACGTGTCCGCCACGCTTTTGCTTTCCTGCCCAGCAAAGGTCCAAATCGAGCGATGCTTGTCGACGTTGCGTTTCCTCACGACTTTCTTTTTATTCTCTCCCTTTGATTATTAGGGCGGCCGCTTTTGCAGAGAAGAGTAAGTACCTGTTACATTGTAACAAGCACCGCCTGTTGTTTTTGGGTGGGGCAAAGGGACCGCACTGTAGCGTTTCGATGTTGTGTGTTAAATGTTAAGTAGCAAACCTGCCGGCTGGGATGGAGGACCTCTCACGACTCCCAACACCCACATCCCCGACTCTGCCAACACATCCCCTTCCCCCAGCCCAGCCCGGCTTCCTGCTGTGGCTCCTTGTTCCGTCCGGGGCTCCTCTCTCCCCTCCCCCCTCCCCCCTCCGCCCTCCCCCCTCTCGCTCCGTGTTCTCTGAGATACGCAGCAGGTGCGGCCATAGGTAGAGCACGGAGGGCAGAGGCTCAGGAAATCCGTTCGTCACACTCGCAGGTCCTCCAGACAGAGGCCGGCCACCCGGAGCCACGTGGGGAAGGGCCGGGTCGGGAGGCGGGAGTGAAGGGCGTGCTCAGACTCCAGCATTTGTTGGGGTTTTCCTGGGACAGGCAGGCGGGGCAAACAGTGTAGGCCTGGCTCTTTTTAGTTATTTCACTGGGCTTTGGTTAGAAGGGATGGTCCCTCGTTGCCTGTCCCCAGGCCCTGGGGTGATCACGGTAGAGGGCTGCTCCTCCCAGGTGCGGGCCAGGTGGGGGAGGCGGGGCCCAGGAGCGTTGCCGTGGGTGGACGATCGCCCGAGGCCGCCTGGCTCCGGGCGGGGTGGTTGGCCTGATGCTGGCTGGGCCCTTGGTGTTCTCTGAGAACGGGGCACCCTGGGACGCACCATCTCCTCAGCCTAGGATGTCAGAGCATCATAATACACAGAAAACGGAAAGCCCGGCTCTCCGGACACACAGGACCTTCTTCCCACCCACCCCAGGGTGCGTTTGGCTGGGGTGGGTTCCCCACAGGGAGCCCTTGGTGAGCTCCCGCACGTCCCGTGTTCCCCAGAAGGCCTTCACCGCTGTCCCCCGCACACCTGAGACTTTACGTCCCCAGGAGCCCCCCTGGGTCGGCTTGTACCTACGTGCTGCCCAGCATGGGGCTGCTCGGGAGAGACGGCCCTTGGACAGTTGTCTGAACTGAGTCGCCGTCGTGTTTCAGATCGTGGCAAGGTGATTGGAGGCTTACCTGATGTGGTGACCATAATGGAGGGCAAGGTAAGGACGCGCAGCAGGACCCGGACTTAGGGTGGTGTGGGGTTTCAGCAGCGCAGGGCAGTCCCCCTCTCGCAGCAAGCCTGGGGAGCCTGGGGGAGGGACTGCATGTTGTTCAGCCCCCAGAGGACGGGGATCTCCCCACCCACCGTGACGCTGGTCTTCAGCTGCTTCTGTAACCCTGTGTTACCAAAGGATGGAGGAGTTTACCATTCTGAACCCACAAGAGCAGCTGTAGGAGCACGGGGACAGGGTGCATGACTCGGGGTCCCAGAGCAGGTGTGTGGCCACGGTGGGTTCCAGGCCCCGGCATCCCCCCAATCCTGGATGTTTCCCCCGGTCCTGGCCATCCCCCAGTCCCAGGCCCTTCGTGGCAGTCACAACACAGGGACCGGGCCGACCACTGCCTGTAGGAGGACAGAAACACATCATGGGAGAAATGAAACCGTCTGTGCTCAGCAGTCCAGGCCATTTTGGAATTCACGATGGAGGCACTAAGTGGAGGTTTAGTTTGTGGCCGGTCCATGGAGCTCCTGACATCGAGTTGGCACCTCTCAGGTCTCCAGTCATTTTAGGTCCATGTCCAGGGGACGCAGACACCTGAGAGAGTATTATCAGGCCAAAATCTAAAATGTCTAGGCCTTCTCTCTAGCAGCTAAAGCAAGCCTAAAGGGCCCCTGAGCCAGGGTCATTGTGGCTCTCCCAACAAGGATGTGTCCGAGGGGCGAGCAGCAGCGCTGCTGTCCTGGGGGCTGAGCGTGCGTGGTCACGTAGCGTCACAGTGCCTTGGCTGCACCCGATGCCTCCTTATAAGACACTGTCTTCTCTGCATTTGCTGGAGGACCCGGCAGACGGGGTCCACGAGCTGGAAGGGAGGAGACATTGGGAAACAGGCTAAGCATGTCTGCTGTAGAACGTAGAGTGTGATTTCCTCTCCTTCCTTTAAAGACATAGACCATGATTAAAACTCGAAAAAATAGGAGAAATGATCATTGCTCTTTCTCACGTGCTGCCTGTGAGGCTGCGAGCTTATTTGCTTCCCGCTGTCTTTGGGTCCCCCGTGTCCAGCTTGGTGCTCGCGTGCAGGAAGTGTGCAGAGTGACCGAGACGCGTGGAGCGTGGGTAGACTGCGCGGCCCCATTCCCGTGGGAGAGGCAGCCCGACGTCCGTGTTTCTAACCCTCCCTTCTCTTCTCTCTCCCACCCCCCGAAGACCTTGAACCTGACCTGCACGGTGTTTGGAAACCCTGATCCCGAAGTGGTGTGGTTCAAGAACGACAAGGACATCGAGCTCAGCGAGCACTTCTCGGTCAAGGTGGAGCAGGCCAAGTACGTCAGCATGACCATCAAGGGCGTGACCTCGGAGGACTCGGGCAAGTACAGCATCAACGTCAAGAACAAGTACGGGGGCGAGAAGATCGATGTCACCGTCAGCGTGTACAAGCACGGGGAGAAGATCCCCGACATCGCCCCGCCACAGCAGGCGAAGCCAAAGCTCATCCCGGCCTCGGCCTCCGGGCTGGCCCCGTGACGCAGCGGCTGCCCAGGGCGGGGCGGGGCGGAGGCCACGTGAGTGCCGTGTGCTTGCTCAGATGGGTGACCGTGAGTGGGGTTGTGTGTGCCGACAGGCCAGCGCGCACCGACGCTTTTAAATTTGGCATTTGGTTGTCATTCTTTTATGTCCCTCCAGGGGCGAAAGCCCAGGTTGTTTGCCATAGGCTACAACAACGTACGTCTGCAGATGCCAACAGAGTGGGTTGCAAGGAGCCCGCTCAGGTTTCCGCGGATGCTGGGACGCCAAGCCCCCGGCATGCTGCTGCTTCCCGTCTGTGGGGCAGACTACCTAGCAGCTCCGAAATCCTGGTTGCAGAGCCTTGCTTGCATGTGTTACCTGGTTGCACTGTTTTCTCTTGCCGTAGATGAATAAAGCTTTAAAAGGCAACTTGTGTGGTCTCCTGTATCAAGCCGTACCTGACTCCATCTGCTCCCTCTCCGGGCTCAATTACAGATTACCATTTGGTGGCACAGCCAGGGGCCTGCAAGCGTGCCATCTGGAGACAGGGAGGGGGACGCAGATCACACTCATGGCATCTACCTGCCCAGACTTCATGGCGGCCCCACGGCTGGCGGGGACAGTGGCCCCACATGACCATTGTTCCCGAGAAGGCGCATCTCTCGTGTGGACTTAGAGGGCGCAGATCTGAAACTCTCTGTAGAGGAAAACAGGATGCCTGGATGGCCATGGTCCTTCTTAGGGAGCTAGTTGACTAGTTAGGGGTTTTGGAACGAAGAGAGGCATCACTCGAAACCATCAGAGCGGTGGCCGTGGAGGCACATTGGAAATTCGGCTGATGCTGGATCTCTCGGTGAAGTCAAACAAAACGTTTGGCTGAACACAGCCTTCTTTGAACCCTTTCTTCCTTCTTTGGGTAGAGGCTGAAATTCCTTGGGCACCAAATTCCTACTTTAACATTTTAGTTTTGTATTAAACATATTACTCGTGTCAGAAAAAAACTTTTGGGCATTTCGGAACATTTTTATGTCTCTGTCATTAAGGCTTAATGAGATTGTGTTATATTTTCCTAAGGTCGTAAACGAAACCCTGAAATTTCAATATGTCCCTAATGATACCAGCCCGCTGAGCAGGTTTTTATAGGAGGTAAAGTGAGGATCAGCAAGAATTTTTAAAAGTATCTTTCCCTTCTCCGTTGTGCAGGTGAACTTCAGGTGACTTTGTCGTCACTGCAGAGCGGGGCAGTGTTCCCGGAACATCTTGGCAAAGGGAGACACACACAGATTTTCCTAAAATTAGTCTTTATTTAATTAAATAGGACTTGCTTATTTTATAGTTTAAGGAGTCATTTTTGTTTAGAGATTATAGTTCATGGGAGACAACGAATTTCTTAAAGCCGTATCATTTTTCGGGGGGGTTGAATTTATATTTTCGGAGCAGTTTTCGGTTCACAGTAAAGCTGAGAAGAAGGTGCACAGGTTTCCCGCATTCCTCCCTCGCCCGCCGTCAGCAGCCGCCCTGGACGGTGCACTTGTCACCATCGATGGACCTGCGTGGACACATCCTCATCACTCCCAGTCCACAGTGTACACCACGGTCACCCTAGACGACGCATGCCCGGGTTGGCACACACGTGTGATGACACGTGCCCACTGTGACAGGGTCACACACAGTCGTCTTGCTGCCCTAAACCCTCTCTGCTCCACCTGCTGGTTCCCCAGCTCCCCTGAGCCCCCGCAGCCACCATCGTTATGTCTTTACAGTCCCCGCGGTTTTGACTTACGTCTTTTAAGAGCAAGCTTGCTCCTTCTGAACAGGCTCAGGTCTGTACAAGAGTTGTGAACACTGCAGGGTTCCACGCGCCCTTCCCGTGGTTCTCCCTGTGGGTAACGTTATGCTTCCACAGTACCTTTGCCAAAACAAAGGAGCTGCGTTGGTCTGCCCCTCCTAACCGCAGACGGCTTTCGGATGGCCCCGGATTTGCCCTCTATGCTCTCTCTGGGCGGTTCATGGTTGCTTCTGCCTGGTCTGGTCTGCCGTAGTTCCTGCTTTCGCTTGTTTTTGAAGACGGTGACAGTTCTAGGAATGTTCTCCTGTCTGGGTTGGTCTGACATGTTCTCATGATAGTCTCGGTGATGGGCTTCCGGAGACCCAGCGGGGAGGTGTCTGACACCCCCACACCGGGGTGACACTGACCTTCGTCACGCATGGAGATGGTGCCAGCCGGCTTCTCCCGGTAGCGTCACTGACCCTCCCTTTCCTGCTCTATTCTTGGCTCCGGGTCATTTGGGCCAGACCACGCGCAAGGGGGGTCCGTGGAATGAGCTCCCCCTGGAGGGGAGAACAGCTACACAGGTACTCAGGGGTCTTCTGGGGGAAGACGTGCCTCTTCTCGTCCTTTTGTTCCTCTAGTCAGGAACTATGGATACAGGTGCGGACTCTTGAGACTTATGTTGTACTCTGGGTTATAATCCAACACTACCTGTTTGCCTTATTGCTCAGATCGTTCTGGCTTTGGTCCCCAGGTCCCTTGTCATTTGCTGTTTGAGTGCTTCCTGACTTCCTGCTCCAGTGGACCCTCGGGCTCCCCTTTGCACTGTCCCTGTCCCAGCCGGGGACTCAGCCATTTCTCTAAGGCCCCTGGCTCCTCGTGTTGGAGAAGCGGACGCAGAATCCAAGGTCTGGGTGCTGGGGTTCATTTATTATTTTTATCACAGTCCTTCGCCTGCTGTATTTATGCAAATGTCCCACAGTATGGGCAACCCCAGTGTGATTACCAGTTACTCCCTGGGAGGCAGAGTGTAAGGAAGTAGCCAGGGGAGACATCTGGGTCACTCACTAACTGTCTGGAAATCCATTAAGTATCTGAAGAATGGTCGCCTGCCATCCTAGAATCCACACCTGACGTGGGAGCAAACACGCCAGCCTTGGATCAGGAGACGGGGCGAGGAGAGCTCATTGCTTAGTCAGAGAAAGCCACTCAGGCTCTGGGATACCTACCGGCTCCCTTTCAATCCTGTGCCAGTGTGACAGCGTGAGGACAGAGGGGGCTGGCGGAGGCACGGATTCCGTGAACAAATACATACGATTTGTTTCCAGAGCCACAAGACGGCACACTCCCTGTGTCCTACACGTCCCGCCTCTCCATTGCTTAATGCTTTGGTTTATGTTTCCCGAGAACAAGGAACAAGGTATCCTTTATGTTACCATAGTCCGGTCGTCAAATAAAGGGAACTCACCTTTGATACAAAACTGTAATGTATAATCCATATTCTGACTCCGCTAGTTATCCCAATAATAAGCTCTAGCGTTTCCCTTCTGCCCAAGAACCAGGTTGGGGTCTTGTATCACATTGCATTGTGTCTTCTGACTTCTTGCAAATCTGGGACAGTTTCCTGTCCTTCTCTATCTTTAATTATGTTATTAGTTTTGAAGGACAGAGGCAGGTTATTTTATGGAGCATGTCTTAATGTGGGTTTGCGGACGTTTCCTCATGATAAAATTCAAGCTGTGCATCCCTGGTTGTGCTACCATTTGCATGAGTTAGGTTCTTCAGAGACACAGCGCCAATAGGAGACAGATGATAGATACATGGATGGATAGAGGTGTAAACAGATAGATGATGGATGGATGGATAGATGGATGGATGGATAGGTAGATATGTATAAAGACTAGACAGATAAATATGTAGATTGGTGGATGATGGGTGGATGTCTATCTAGATAGATGGATTGATGGATGGACAGATATGCAGATAGATCGGATAGATATGTAGATGGATGGATGGACAGATGGATAGATAGCTATGTAGGCAGATTAGACATGTGGATGGATGGACAGATGGATGGATGGATAGATACGTAGAGTCAGTATGAGCAGATTTATTACGTGACTAGCAGACGTGGTTGTGGAGGCTGGGAAGCCCCACCATGTGCATCTGCAGCTGGAGACCCAGAAGAACCAGTGCTGGAGTCTGGCTGAGTTGGAAAGCCTGCGAAGCAGGAGCACCAATGTCCACGGGCAGAGGAAGGCTGTCTCAGCTCAGGTAGAGCGAGTTCATCTTCCTGCGCCTTTTTTGCTCCATTTGGGCCACAGCAAATTAGATGATGCCCACCCCCGAGGGGAGGAAGGGTTTCTGGGCTCAGCGCCCTGATTCACATGCCGATCTCTCTCAGACACCCTCACAGGCTCCAGCTTCCTGCAGCCCAGTCAAGCTGACATGTCCACTGACCCCACGCTACTGCGGTGATGTGCTGTCCTCCCCGGGCGGCGCGCCCAGAGGCCTTCTGCCTTCACCACAGAATGCCTCCATCCCATGATGATGGGGCCATCAGGTGTCACTGCATGGCTGCTGTGGTCCCCTGCAGCCACGCACAATCTGTGGGGTCCCCTGAAGACCACATCAACGTCCTGGGCACGGTAGCCTTCTTGTCGGTGACGCTTTCCCACGGTGGCTCGGGGGCGCAGTCGGTCCAGTGGCTCCCACGGCCCAGGTCAGCTGCTGCTTGTCACTCACGCACTCACTCGTGCCCACACCTCCCGTTCCCGCTCTCCATTGCGCTGCACTCACAGGCACCTGCTTCGTCACTGGCCTGGACTGTTTCCCTGCCCCGCCCCACTGCTGTGCCCTGCTGTCCACCTTCAGCCGGGTCTTCAGCACTTGGTGAGGGCATCCTCCTTCCCGGGCAATTTGTCTGTGCTCTGTCTGTCTCCAAGCTCTCCTTGTGCGCCCCAATAGCCTCTCTGCTGGCATCCACAGGCCAGTCCCTGGGCAAGAGGACACTTTCCTGATAAGGCCGATGTCAGGGTTCACACGGGGCTTCCTCTGACGCTTGTTGTAGTCAGAGGGGCCTGTGACCCAGACACAACCTCCCCCTGCGCACACCTCTGGCTGCTGGCCAATGACAGCACCCGGCCGAGGACAAGCAAGGATGGGGGCACCTACGCCTCTTGGCCCGGGTCCTGGCTCAGTGGCTGAGCAGTTCTGCCACTGGGGACATGTCATTTGAACTATTTAAGCCATGTTTCTTTTTGTCTACAAAAAT